TTATCGTGCACCCTTTATAATTTCTACATGGCAACCCCCCCTCCAAATGATCAGCTAGTTTATCGTGCACCCTTTATAATTTCTACATGGCAACCCCCCTCCAACTGATCAGCTAGTTTATCGTGCACCCTTTATAATTTCTACATGGCCAACCAGTGTGTGGCTGTTTTCCATGACCTGGTTAATTATTTGTAGCTTTTGTAGATAACGTAAAGATATCTATTATTTCAAGCCTAATTACTGTCTGTTTGAATGTTAAGAGTAAGGTGACTTGTCTGTAATTAGTATCCAGGTAATTTAGATTTCTTTTTTTAATGACCCATCATCACCTGTCGCTTTTGTTTTGGTTTTTTAGGCTGAAGTTCATTTAAATAGGGTAATGACCTAGTTCTGGCAGTTTAGGCACCTGTGGAGAGTGGTTCAGAGGTAATTAGGTCACGCACATACACACACGCACACACACACACACACCTCCCACTTATTCTACTATTTTCAAGGCGTCAAATTAATCAGGGTTTTTTTGTAGTTTATTTTAGCTTCTCACCAACACGTAGCAGGAGCTTAGCTGTTGATATTATTGACCCCCGGAAGCTAAGGGTGGGGGGAGGGGGGTGTTGGAGGAACCCTGAACTTGACCAGGTAAAGGTGTGTGTGTGTGTGTGTGTGTGTGTGTGTGTGTGTGTGTGTGTGTGTGTGTGTGCCTCCAGGCACTTCCCGGGTTAAAGCTGCAGTGCCCTGAGTCACATGGGAGGTGTGGATGGGGGGGTGGGGGTGAAGGAGAGACGGAAGGGGAGGGAGGTGATATGGAAAGGGAGGGAAGAGGAGGGAGTGAGTTGTGGCGATAGATAAGGGGTAAAGAGGAGGTGAGATACTAAGGGGTTAGGTGAGGAGGTAGGTAAGTGGGGAGGTAGGTGGGGGGATGAAAGAGGTGTGGAGAAGCCGTGGACTTGTGAGGTGGTGGTGTATTGTAGTGGCAAGTGGTAGAAAGTGGTCTCTCTCTCTCTCTCTCTCTCTCTGACGAATTCCATTTTATCTCATTTTTTCGTCTTAATCTACACAGCCTTTTAAAAGCCCTGAATGATCTTTTCAGTTCCATCGCGGTCTTCGTAAACACTGGGACACGTACGAAAAAAATAAAATAAATAAATAAGAAAAAGTAAATAAATAAATAAATAAATAAATAAAAGTAAATAAGTATATAAATAAAGTAAATAAGTACAATAAATAAGTAAAAAAAAAGTAAATTAATAAAAACAACGCCCCCGTATTTTTAGCGAGATATTTTTCGTTGGCCAATATATATCGAGTGGTTCCTTGCTGGTTCTGATATGTTTCTTTTATTTATTTTGGGTCTAGTTTAGGTTATATATTTTACTGGTATGTGTATTGGAGAGAGAGAGAGAGAGAGAGAGAGAGAGAGAGAGAGAGAGAGAGAGAGAATAAGGCAGGAAAGATCGATAAGGGAAGGTAGACAGGTCGAACTGCTTGGCCTATATCTCCGTGTGGGGAGGTGGACGATGAGGAGAGGAGAGGGAAGTAGGGACACACACACACACACACACACACACACTTCAGTTCATTAAATTTTCAGAGGACAGTATCGTGTGTGTTGGAGAGAGAGAGAGAGAGAGAGAGAGCACACACACATTCAACTCTTGACATTTCAACCAACCAGTGAACGAGTGTTTCCCTACCTCTGCCTTCATACATTCGCCCATGCCACCCACCCACCTCCACGACCCACCCACCCACCTCCACGACCCACCCACCCACCGTTACTACCTGCTGTATTCGTAGCCATTATGTTTATGTATTGTATGAAACTCGTATATCTCTCTCTCTCTCTCTATCAGGTCAAGTGCCTTAGAACCCTTTAAAAAAAATTCCATATTAGGTCGAGGGATTGTGAGTGGCCTATAAAAACGTACACATAGGATCCACATACATGACAAGATACACAGAAAAAACGTACATGAACAGGTACACAGGAACGCGTGTACATGACCAGATACACAGAAAATATTTACATGATCAGAAACACAGGAATGCGTACATGAACAAGTACACACAAAAACACGTACATAGATGAAACAAGAATATTTTATTGACCTTTTTGTTGTTGTGAGTGATACATCATTAGTGTGACGTAGATAAATGAGATTGTAAATGAGGTATTGTAGCTGTGTAAAATATGGTTCGATTTGTCATGTGAAAACTCCATTATTTTTTGACATTTATGTAACGTGAAATGAGTTCATATGGATAGATCATGTGTTTTGTGAGATATTTTTATACAGTGGAACCTCTATTTAACGTACTATATGGAGAGAAAAGTCCGTTATATGGAGGTATCACTGTATTTGAGGTGAATTGCATCGGTTTTGGTTTCTGTACAGTTGTGAAGAGAAAAAAATCCTGTCGCCCTTCCTCCTGAACCACGAACCCCGTATGTGTCTGTTGTTTCGGGTTCACGAGTCTGAATTTAAGGATTCGTGGAACAGCCCCAAAAATCCTCTGTCTGTCTGTCTGTCTGAGAAAGAGAACAATTGACAGTCGAGGGATATGTTTACAAAAGTCGTTGCGCATTGTGTTTTGCCTTTGCTATAGTATGATTTACAATTTTCCGCTTATTCATATTGTTATTCCCAACTTGTAAGTATTGATTTCCCCGTCGCATATAACCCGGCACAGTATAAACGACCTTCTTGTGAGATTTGCCGCGTCGTAATCAATAAACCCGTCTCTTGTGAACGAGTCCATGGCGCCTGTAGAGATATGGTGGTAGTCGATGTTCACTTTATTTTTCTTGCTTTTGGCTTACCCTATATTGCTTTACTTAATTCATATGTATAAATTACCCAGATTGAAATGTACTCTGTATTTTTCGTTCCGGAGTCTTTTTACGAGTAATATATAATTGTGAGAATTTATGAACTGGATAACGAATTGATGTTTTTATTTTATTTACATCCTGTTATAGTAGATTGTAAATTATAGTAGATTATGGTAATTATAGTAGATTGTAAATTATAGTAGATTATGGTAATTATAGTAGATGTTACAGTAGAATGTTGATATGTTCATTATGGTAGATCACGTTGATTATATAGATCATATTAATTATAGTAGGTCACGTTAATTATAGTAGATTATGCTCATACCCTCCCCATAAGTATACTGACTTAGTGGCTCGCAGGTCACGGGAACCATCGTAGCCAGTTAGGATAGGATAGGATAGGTCAGGTCAGGTCAGGTTAGGTTAGGTCAGGTTAGGTTAGATTAGATTAGATTAGATTAGGTTAGGATAGGATCAATGAACCCCTTAAAAAAAAAACATGTCGAGTTCTCCCTGAATAAACTCTCCGGTGTCTGCCCATGATATTTCTTTACCTGGTGACAACTGGTGGTGGGGATTTACACACACACACACACAGACACACACAGATGTTCTTTCTGGTAACTGTTTACAATGTTTCTTTAGTATTTACTGTTTACATTTTCGTCTATATTAATAATTTTTTATCGTGTTTACATTGCTTGGTTCACCGTGTGTGTGTGTGTGTGTGTGTGTGCGTGTGTGTGCGTGTGTGTGTGTTGTGAGCGCCAGATGGTTTAAGATGATTTGTTAAAGGGGTGAATTATTGTTCCTCCGCTGATGTTATATGATAAAAATGTACAATAAAAACCAAATTGAGTATAAAAAAATCGATATAAGATTGTTATTTTTAGCTTGAAATGAGTGGGAAGGTGATGAAAGGTGTGTGAGATAGACAGTTGAGGAAGAAGAGATAATATTGGACTCTGCTCGTCTTCCTCAGTTCCTGGTTATTTATTATACATTCCTCCTCGCCATCTTGAGCCACAGTAGATAATCTTGGCTATTTTGGTCTATTTTTTTGGTATTTTAATGTTGTTCTGTCATGTTTTAGTATCCAACTTTGCCCTAAATGAATCGTTAATTGTTTTATATATATGCATTTTCAGTCGTAATGAACGTATAAGTTATTAATTGTTTGATTTGTAGGCTACACTGTGCGAAATTTTAATTATACTGGGAATATATAATTATTTGATATTTCTGCTATAAAATTCGGAACATCTGAATCTGAAAAATAAATATATGACCAATTTTTTTTTTACGATTATTACCTTTCCTCTCAGATATTGTTTTTGTGGTTAAGAGAATAAATTTAATAGGAAAGATAAAATACTCGGTTAAGTGTGCTCAGGTCTCTTATAGTGAGGACGCGGACAGATGAGCTACTGAGCGCTTAGTGGTTATGACTTACCTGGATATTACCTGTGCATGTAGCCTAGTTGGTTGTGTTCTGGAAAATATAGTATAAATACTTGTGATAATGTGATACGTTTTTGTGTTGCTATGTGTATAAGTATTTTATCTTGCCTTGACAAAAATTACCTTTCAAGTCTTGTTAAAGGACATTATTATTTCTTTATTATTATTATTATTATTATTATTATTATTATTATTATTATTATTATTATTATTATTATTCTATTATAATTATAATTTTATTATTATTATTATTATTATGCCATTAAGGCTCATAACCATGACGTCATCTAATTAACCTGTCAACCGAAATTTAAGAGTGCAACCTTGACCTAATTTTCAAGGTCATTTGGTCATTGATAAACTGGACTGGTGAGGTTTTCAACGTTTGGTGATTTTGATTTTAGTGTAGTAACATGGTAGGTGTGTGTGTGTGTGTGTGTGTGACAGTTACATTGAACTCTTGGAAAAAATAGCAAAAGCCAGAATATCAAGTAAAATATTACACTTGTCAGGGAAGTATCAATAATGTTAACTATTTTGATTTTATAATGTAATGAACAAAGAGCAAATTTTCACTCCTATATTTTGAAAACCTGTCCTTGTATGTATGTATGTATTCAAACTTTTTCCATATAAATTTCAGGGAGTCATGTTTCTTGAGGAATTATTTTATTTATATGTTGTATTTTACCTTTTATTCCAGAATGGGTTGAACGCTCTCCATCTGGCCAGCAAGGAAGGACATGTGAACGTTGTGAGGGAGTTACTGCAGCGCGGCGCCAACGTCGATGCTGCTACCAAGAAGGGCAACACTGCTCTGCACATTGCTTCCCTTGGTATGATCATCAGCACCATGTAGGCCCCTTCACTAGTGCATTTACAGGGGCTCGTCAGGTTCTGTGGAGTGTGGCAGCCAGGAATCTCGCAATACAGTAGTAAACATGCTATGGAATCACGTTAAAACAATATTTAAACAAATATATCAGAGAATGTTTTGTGGAGTGTATATAACGAGCCCCTGTAAATGCACTAGTGAAGGGAACTGTACACTAGCAAAGGATATCTTAAACAATAAAATAAATCATCTTCACAATACAGTATACATACAGTACAAGAATTTCCAAGGAGCTATAGCAATGCAAACAAAAAACTTAGAAAATAATTATCCCCATCTTGCAGAATAGTCCATTACATTTTAAAACTTAACGGATGATTATGTACCCCTAAAATGCACCACACACGCACACCTTATTATTTTTACATCATCATAAGCTTATCTCTGTTATACACTACAGTACATTTTTTGTATATTTCCTCAGTAATACAGTATTGTCTTGAACCTTCCCCTAATGCATCCAACCTTCGTCATTTCCTCGAGCCATTTTGCAAGTAAATCATAATATTAAGCTTTTAGTTTCCACACAAGACTCTCCATTGTTGGTCTGATCCACTTATAATATGGCCTTCTTCTGTCATTTTATTGCCATGCTTTCACCAGTAATGTCCTATATAGTTAGGGGATCTCGACTCCCATAAACCTCTTAAGAGTTTTGCCTGGAATAAATCTATGATCTTTGAGTACTGAGGAGTTTTTTTCTTCATGATTCTATTGTATAGATCCAGTGGCTTCATATAGAAACCTTTGTTAGTGTTGATCAGATGGTTAAATAAGGCTTATAGCAGGTTCCCCGGTGTGAGTTCATGGAATAACTTAGGTTGAGCTGAGATTTATGAACCCTTGTAGAATTGTGTGTGTCTTGTCTGTGTGATGTGTGGAGTGTCGTATGTGTGTGTGTGTCGTATGTGTGTGTGTGTGTGTGTGTGTCTCCTTTTCCCATATGAAATACCTTCTCATAAACCTTCTCATATGTATGTAATGTAATGTAATTTTTAATGTTTCAGCTGGTCAGGAAGAGATTGTAAAGGTTCTCGTACTGCATCAGGCGCTGGTCAACATCCAGTCCCAGAATGGCTTCACTCCTCTCTACATGGCTGCACAGGAGAATCATGACTCCGTTGTGCGATTCCTCTTGGCTAACAATGCCAACCAGAGCCTTGCTACAGAGGTGAGAGAAGACATTATTTTTTTGTTTAAACAGTTAGTTGATATTTTGAAGTTACTGTGCCTCAACAACTAAGGTTTTTTAAGTGTGTGATAAGGTTAGTAATTACGTGTATCTAACTCCAGCAATTAAGAATTATGAGAGGTAGAATTCTGTAAACAGTTGGTAATGATACTCTGGGCTGTGAATGGCTCGTATGTTATTAAGAACTGCTTGACTAAGTGCATAGCTATAAGAGAGGATTTCATGGGTGATCTTCCATTCATTAACTTAATATTAAAACTTTTTACTCATTGAATTATCGTCTATGAGAAAATATGCCATTCCTTTTTTCAATTGGTTTTGGATTGCTTTTTTAATGACAAAAACTGTTCCCTCATTGACTTAAGGTTTTTGAGAAAACATTATTTCTTGGTGAAGAAAGGTCACGTAGTGATATTTTGTTTTCACAAATTATTTTGCTGGTTATGAAAACTCAGTTCCTTTGTTCAAGGTTTATGGAGGGACTTGCTGTATTTACTTACAAATTCAGCTTTGAGATTCTTCTTTTTTTAGTGTTTTATTAATTTCTTTATTCACAGGATGGGTTCACCCCATTGGCAGTTGCCCTACAACAGGGACACGACAAAGTTGTGGCAGTTTTGCTGGAAAACGATACACGAGGCAAAGTGCGCCTCCCTGCTCTTCACATTGCTGCTAAAAAGGACGACACAAAGGCTGCAGCACTGCTTCTCCACACTGACCACAACCCAGACGTCACCTCCAAGTCTGGGTTCACACCACTACACATTGCTGCTCACTATGGGAACGAAAACATTGCTAACCTCTTGATTCAGCGTGGGGCTGATGTCAATTATATTGCTAAGGTTAGTGAGATTTTTAAATGTTGTTTTTCAGATACTGTATTAAGATAAAATTTATCTAAAAAGTAATATACATATAGACTGAATCAACTATTAATTTTAATTATATCCATAATGAACTTTTTTTCAATGTTCATATCAGTACACTTGTACAGTACTGTACTGTATTAAGAATGTTTGTTGTAAAAAATTGTATGCACTATTTGGGATAGAATTTATTTTTGATACCTTATATTGGTACTTTTTCAATACCCTGTATACAGTAATTTGATATTTTTGAGGATTTTATTTTGATACTGATTAATTCGACGATAAATTCATTTTGATAATTTTCACCAACAGCACCAGATTACACCTCTGCATGTTGCCTCCAAATGGGGTAAAGGAAATATGGTGTCACTGTTGATAGATAAAGGAGCTAACTACGAGGCCAAGACCAGGGATGGCCTCACACCCCTCCACTGTGCTGCCAGATCAGGCCACGAGACTGTTGTTGATATGCTGCTGGAAAAAGGTGCACCAATTACTAGTAAAACCAAGGTGAGAATTGGAATTTAACTTACAGAATCAAAGTAAAAAGTTAACCATAATTGTAACTTTGAGATACATTACTAAACCCTCAATTGAGAATGACCTTAGAGAGATAGACGTGATAAGAGTATTGGCTTATAACTTACACTAAGAACTAGATAAGAGGTATGGTAATCTGAGAGAAAGAATTTATTAAAAATACAATAGAAGATTCATATAGTTTGTGGTTACAGGAAATGAGGTGTATTATATTATGGAGGTGTGTAATACCGTGATTTATTTTTTCTCTCTCTCTCTCTCTCTCTCGGAACAGAATGGGTTGGCTCCTCTTCATATGGCTTCACAGGGCGACCATGTTGACGCTGCTCGTATCCTCCTCTACCATAAGGCCCCTGTTGATGATGTAACAGTTGATTTCCTTACTGCTCTTCATGTTGCTGGTGAGACTGGCCGACAGACGTAGATTTTTAATGAAAGTTTGCCGTATTTTATTCTAAAGTCACATACGGTGAATTTTTATATTGGTGTGAAGAGACGCGTGTGAGTGTGTGTCCGTGTTTTATTTCCAGCCAGTTACGATGAATAAATCAAAGCAGGAAGTGTATTATAAGTTACAGTTTATGTGCTGTTAAATTGATGGAAGGAAAATTTTATGGTTAGGAAAGAATTACTGACTGACTGTTGCATATATTTTTATTTAAGAAGTTGGTGATATGAATACAATATGTTGTAGACAGACAATATATTATTATTTTTTACCATAGTTAAACCAGACAATATATTATTATTATTTGTCCATTTTAAAATTTATGTGTATTATTGAAATGAGATGTGATTTTATTTTTTTTCAACACTGCATTACAAAATCTATTTCAGCTCACTGTGGGCATGTGCGAGTGGCAAAGTTGCTGCTGGACCGTAAAGCTGATCCAAATTCTCGAGCTCTGAATGGCTTCACTCCTCTCCATATTGCTTGTAAGAAGAACCGTATCAAGGTGGTGGAGTTGCTCCTCAAACACGGTGCTAGCATTGAGGCTACTACGGAGGTAAGACTCGAGGCTTGGTCGAGAGGGTGACTTTGATTGTAATGTGACTCCTATAATGTGACTCCTATAATTTTACGAGTACAGTATTGATCATTTGTTATTAAATCTTATGGTAAACTGAGCACAAATTGGTGGTGCCATTGCAACAGTTGGTTAAGTATTTTAAGTCCCTTTATTTATATTTTCTCTTGCTCTTATCTGATGTCAATACTGGTCTTTCATCTTTTGTGTTTCTTTACCTTTTCTTTGTCTTTTAAAATGTTCCTCAGTAAATATACATCATCTGGTTATTAAAAGCAGATTGTCCACAACCTCTGAGACTTTCCCTGCACTTTGACCTCTATCTAGTGATTCTAACCCATCTGTAACTCCTTCCTCTTGTTACCAACCTCCCCCTCTTTGTATTATGAATTTTGAACTTATTTTAAGCAACCTCTCATTTTAATTTTCTCCTGGTACAGTCTGGTCTGACCCCTCTTCATGTTGCCTCCTTTATGGGCTGCATGAACATTGTGATCTACCTAATCCAACATGGAGCCTCTGCTGATGTGCCAACTGTGCGAGGAGAGACGCCACTCCACCTGGCTGCAAGAGCAAACCAAACAGACATCATCCGTATCCTACTCAGAAATGGTGCACAAGTGGATGCCAGAGCTCGAGTAAGTATTTAATTGTCGGTGTACTGAGATACTAGTCTGAGCTACGTGTGGACATTTAGCAACCAGCGTAGTGTTTTGTGATTTATGTATTGTAACAGAATGAAGAATATATAAACAGTATGTACTTATATTATTTTTTAAAGACTTTCCTTTACGGTTATTGTAGATGAATTTTAGTTGATTATTAATTATAAATATCATTTCCATCTTTTTTCAGGAACAGCAAACGGCTTTGCATATTGCTTCACGTCTGGGTAACAGTGATATTGTAGTGTTGTTACTGCAACATGGAGCAGCGGTTGATGCCACCACTAAAGACCATTACACAGCCTTGCACATTGCTGCTAAAGAAGGCCAGGAGGAAGTGGCCAGTGTTCTCTTGGAGCACGGTGCTTCCCTCACTTCAACAACAAAGAAAGGATTTACACCTCTCCACCTGGCTGCTAAATATGGTAACTTGAAGGTTGCTCGTCTCCTGCTTCAGAAGGACGCCCCTGTTGATGCCCAGGGCAAGAATGGTGTTACTCCACTTCATGTAGCAGCACATTATGACCATCAGGTGAGTAACATACAGTACTGCAATGAGCATTTTAACTGTTTCTGTGTGTATATATTATGTTGTTTTGCAGTGTTTTATTAATAGTATTTTACAAAATCACTGAAAAATTGTCAAAGAACTTGTAATCCTGTGAAGTGAGTCCAGGAAAGGGGAGAAAATAAATGTAGAGGTACAGTATTAGGAATAAAAAAAAAATTCTAGAACACTAATTTTGTTTTTTCCAGAATGTGGCTATGCTGCTGTTGGACAAGGGGGCCTCCCCACATGCTACAGCAAAGAATGGCTATACACCTCTTCACATTGCTGCTCGCAAGAACCAGATGGATATTGCTACAACACTTCTCGAGTATGAGGCCAAGGCTAATGCTGAATCCAAGGCAGGATTTACACCTCTTCATCTTAGCTCCCAGGTAGTGTATAATTTATTGTTATTTGTCAGATACAGTGTACCTGTATTATAGTTAATCCATATTAAAGTATACTGTACTGTACCTTATTTATCACTGGTTCCAGAAGATTCTGTTCTTACTAATTCACTACCGGTAGTTCTCTGGGAACCTTTGCTGGAGAAGTTTTATAATCTATATTTTGGTTGTTCTTTAGCACAATTATTTTATTGTCTTTGACCATAAGTATGATGGGAAAACTTTTTGCCTGGGTTTTCATGATGTAACTCTGCAAAATTGAATTACCATGACTCAGAATCTAACAGACATTTCCAGACTATGACTCAGAATTTAACAGACATTTTCAGAATACAGTGCAGTTTTTAACCTCAGATGTGTGAAAAATATCTTCTTTTATTTTTCAGGAGGGTCATACAGACATGGCAACTCTGCTGATTGAACACAAGGCTCCACCCGGTGCTTGTGCTAAGAATGGCTTGACGCCACTACATTTGTGTGCGCAGGAGGATCGTGTCAATGTTGCTGCCATCTTAGTCAAGCACCGAGCTCAGGTGAGACTTCACTTAATGGTGACTTAAAAATTGTAATTGAATTTTGAAAAGGACGGTATATATATATATATATATATATATATATATATATATATATATATATATATATATATATATATATGTATGTATTACCAGGTATTAAACTTCTTAATCAACTATACATTCCATATTATGTTTTTTCTCTTGTGATAATATTGCCTAGGTTGTATATACTCTGTATAGTATTTACAATTAATTTATAAAGTGGTATGAACCTGTGTAATCATTAAAATATTCCATTAAACAGATTTCTTAATGATTATTTCATTTTATTTTATTTTATTTAAAGATTGATCCAGAAACAAGGGCCGGATACACACCACTTCATGTTGCCTGTCACTTTGGCCAGATGAATATGGTGCGCCTCCTGTTGAAACATGGAGCCAAGGTCGACTCCACCACTCAGCTTGGGTTAGTCATATTTTATGTACTGTTTTAACAGCAACACAAAGTTTGCTTTGGGGATTTTAAACTCTCTGGAGCTGTATGTTAAGGTTAAGTTGGAATGAGGAGTGGCGTGTGATACGAGTATGTTGTGTTTTAAGTGTCTAGTGGTGGCTGTGGCAGGAGCTTGGGTGGCTCTGAGGATCTTCACGGGATGATTGGGAGTAAGTCTGATGATGCAATGAGTTATACGACGCCAACACACAAATTACTAGGATAAAGATGGCGGAACATGGGCTATGTTTTTTGCATTAGATTCCGGATGGATGATTCAGTATGAGATAATAAAGATAGAATTCATTTTATCACACATCCACTTCAGAAAATCTTTATCATTTTTACTACTTTTTTATACAAGATAAAGTTTGATAATATATCCTGGTATCTATGTAAGACAAACAGTATTGATTCAATACATCTCACCCAAATTGATCCCTGATTGCATGTGTCCCTGTGAAAGTGTAGCACCGACACCATTTCTGGGACAAGATGATATTGAGTACCCGATAACCTCCTCACCCAAGAGATAGAGAGATTAGATTACCACTGTGTGGCTGGGAAGTGCCAGTGTCATTATACCTTCTGGCTTGTAAACATTACTAGTGGGAGAGCTGCTGGAAATACTGCTGTTAGGTGTCAGATTTTCATAGCCCCAAATCGTAAAATAATGGATTTTGTTTTGTGTAAGTTTATAGTTTTTTCTTTTTGTGAAATTTGAGATGTAAAAGAGTAATTGGCATTATTTTCTTTAAAAGAGATTGGTGGTATTACATGTTCCAGAAATATATGACAGTTGGTGGGATAAAGTTCAATTTCAGTGTAAAAGTGGCAATGTATCGTAGAAATTAAGTAATAAAAATTTTAAATGACAGGTAAAGGAGAAAGTAAGTATCCTGTACTGTATTTATAGACTGTAAAAGAGAATTGTTTGAGTAAAATACAGTACAGAGACTCTATGAGGAGTGATAACTATGTGTGGAATATTGAAAAATTGAATAAAGTTCGTTGAAAGTGTTTTTGAGGTTATTGTAAAACTAAGTCGCATAAACCTTGACACATACAAGATTAGTCTCCCTGATATGGAAAGTTTTTCCTAATATTTTTGTTTAGTAATGGAAATGTCATGATACAAGGATTACAATTTAAAACCTTACATACTGAAGGTTTAATTGTAAAGGCATATAGAGTCACGAGATTAGTTTTTATTCCTATTGTAGTTTGAAGAAAAGACTACAGGTAGTTACACTTATAAGACGATAAACTTATTTCTTCCCGACCAACAGGTACACGCCACTCCACCAGGCAGCTCAACAAGGCCATACCCAGATTGTAAATTTGCTGCTTGAGAACAAGGCTGAACCGAACACAGAGACAAACGTGAGTAAATTCGTGTGTCCAGCAGAGTAACGTTTGGTATATACTATATTGTAGTATATCCAAGAGAGAGAGAGATTCCATTTGTGTGTTTTTGTGTTTTAACTTTTGTATTTATCTAATTTTTTCCACCATAAAGATATTGTTTTTGTTTTTTATTATGTGTGACTTCCTCTAACAAAAGTATGTAGGTATCATATGCTTTCTTGGATAGGGGGAAAGTGCTTTTTTTTTTAGTAGAGTAACAAAAGTATGTTGGACTAGGTATGATATGTTCTTCTCAGCTATGGAGGAGGTGATGTTTTTTTTTAGATTATTGGTCACGGGATACTTAATGGCAGTTTGTCTTCTGACGCAGGACGGCAAGACGGCGCTCAGCATTGCTCAGCGTCTCGGCTACATCTCCGTGGTCGAGACGTTGAAGATCGTAACGGAGACGACCATCAACACCACCACCACCACAGTCACCGAGGAGAAGTACAAGGTGGTCGTGCCGGAGACCATGCACGAGACCTTTATGAGCGAGTCCGAGGATGAAGGAGGTAAGTCGGTGGTTGTTAATTCTTACAGGAGTTTATGTTTTATCTTATCACCTATTTTCTCCATTGGGAACTTTTTTTTTTTTTGGGATGGAAGTATTTGTTTGGAGTGTCTGTAGCGTCACTATTTTTATCAGTTTTCTATGTTCACTAGTTACAGATTTAGATTTTGGTGGATTATTTTTATTACAAGACATTATTTTATTTTATTTGGATGGAGAGATGCGTCAGTGGTGGTGTGACGTCAATGAAAACAGGAAAAATTGTTTGTCGGAAATTAGTAAAACAAAAACAAAACACTACTGTGGTTTTAAGGGTTCACGTTTTCTTGGTTTCTGTGACATTTCATCTCTGTATTTTATTCTGTGTGATGGTTAATTTACAATTCCATAGATATTTTTGTTTTGGCCTTATGCAGACATGATAATCACATCATTTATTGTTGCTGGGAATGTCTAGGTTGGTCGACTTGTAGGTGGAGTCATCATTGTACAGTATTTATTTCCTTACATGTCTTCATGTTCTTTGAGTGATAGTGAGTTGCTGTGGACATCAGTGCATCAGAAATGCATTTTATACATTATTTTTATTTATTCCGTACCATAATGGGAACAAAAAGCATTATTAAGTTCAGTATATAGAATAAAGCCATGATGGTATACATACATATGTACTTGTATGCACACTCAGACACATGCACACACAGATCCACGTAGACTGTACCTTTTCAATAAGCCATTATCTATTTGTATTACTATTATTAGACACACAGACACATACCTTAACACCTTTTCATTAGCATGTGAGAGTTTTGTGCTACAGGAAAGTACTTGTTAGTGTTCTAGGCCTTGGAGGCAGGATAGTTACTCTTGTGTGTGACAGCTAGGGTGTGTTGTGCTACTGCAGTCCTAATGAGCTCTAGTACAGAACTGTACTGTCCATGTTTGATAACCATCTTGAGTGCAGATTTTGAATGCTTTTTGTTATTTCCTTCACAAGTTTTCTTTAACACTACTGTAGTTTGATGACCAAGTTTGGGGTCACGTTTTTAACACTTCATTGTTTGAAACAAAGTTTTTAGGGTTTCTTATTATTTTAAGCATTTTGTTGTGGTTTTGAAAAATATGACTCATTATTTTGTTTATATGAATGACACAGTGACTGGCACACATGACGTCTTCTTTTGTTTCTTTTTTATTTTAATAATTCTGTTAATGCTTTGTGATAACTGCTGTTGCAAAATTAAGGCATGTATTTAGTCTGCTATTTAACCAGAAGATATAATTATCACAAATTAAATTTTTTTTCCTTTTGCATGTTAGGCATGGCTTTAAAATTTTACATTTACATTCACATTTCAATTTGGTCAAGTTTTTAATATGTCATAAACATATGATTGTACATTACGCAGTATGCGGCAGTTTTAGTCTAACCAGCTTCTTAATTTGACAACTACAAATGGAGCAAAATTAGTTTATAGATTTGCACTATTATTAAATAGCTAAGCTTAAGCATGTCATTACCTCTTTATAAGAGGTGTAGTGATTACTGTAGAATTGATGATTCCAAATAAAAATGTATGCATGCAAGAGCAACAGTGCAAGGCATTCTCAAGAATCATCACCATCAAAAAGGGTAAGGTGGAGCCATTACTCTAAACCGACTTGACAAGTGACAGCATCTTGACAAACTGTAGATAGAAGTTGCTTGTGCTGCTCATTATCTTTTGTATATGTCAAGTTGTGTAGTATTTCAGGAGTGCTTGTATTATACTTGTGTAGGTCACAAGTTGTTCATCTCTCACAGCTGATTACATATATATTGAGTAGGTTGACAAGTCAGCACTCATAACTCTGGTAGTGTAAATTTTGCCTCTTGTCACTGGACACAAGTTATGACCTAAGATTTTCAAATGCATATGTTTTATTTGTTCAGAATTTGATAATTATTAGCTTATTTGTTAGACTAATGACTTTGAAAGTTACTCTAACTATTTGATATGTACCGTAGTTAAGCCTTGTTTCATTGGTTCTCTGAAAATAATCACCCTACTCATGAGAAGTCATTGCCATTGTCAAAATTAAGTAGATTCAATAAATTTCACTTAAATACAATAACCATTAGTTGCATTATTTGAGCTTGAAGTATTTTATTTTGGGTTTATATGTTGTCTAAATTTTGAGAAAGCAGTAGCTCAAACTCTTATATAATTGTGTGGTTAAACAGTATTGTGTGTTGCTGTCAGCTGTAATATTATTTCTCTATTGTTTTGTGTTTAATTTGATAATGAATACTGCACAGTTTTGTAATATATTGGATGAATGTATTGATAAAGCAGTGACTCCTTGTAAACATTGCAAGATGCATGATGTTCTAACCGACTAATATTGTATCTAGTTAATAACATGATTTAGGGGAACTTATTTGCTGAAACTGTAATATTTTGGGTGTAAGTCTTACACTAAAGGCATGAAGGAAGTGGAGAAGAGACAGAATGACCTTTATGAAAACTGACACTTTTAATGTGCTTGATGAAGTTCTTTGTATATTTATGGATTAATAAGGTGTACAATATGTCATATAATCATATAAAAAAACGAGCTAGAGTAACTCGTCTTATGTTAGTCGTTAAAGCTCATATGATGCTGCTAATATTGTGTATGTTGATAGTGTAGAATGCTTGATTGTAAGTGACCAATACAGTAACAAACTATTTCAAATTTCATCAAGCACAATCAGACAGACATAGACGTAGCTGTGACAACAGTTCAGAAAACTGTTGCTGACTAACCCTTGTCCGTTGTGGGTGTTGTTTGTGTCCAGGTGACGACACTATGGTCTCCTCCATGTTTGGTAAGCAGCAGCACGTCACGCTCCCGTTCTATGAAGGACAGTTACGCTACACCAGTAAGTCTTCACTAGGAATGATATACCGTCACTGTAGTTCCATATATTGGTTGTAGAAAATACAGGAAAAGTCTATAACAGTTGTTACAAAATGTGGGGCAAGTTGGATAACTGACTCTTTCAGCAACCAAATACTGTACTGTACAGCTTTCATTGGGATTTATCATGTCATGAGTGGTAGGGTATTATACAGTACCATACTGTACTGTCTTATGAGCACTTGCCTTATGTTTTTTAATTGGTTCCCGATTTCTCCTGTATTTATGAGAATTATATGTGCATGATTTGGATATATGATTATGCATTAGTATACGGTGTTTTGCATGAGGAAAAAACAAACACAGGAAGTATTAAGCTGCCAACACGAGTTTCTTCAGTACAGTACTACATGTATACAGATATGACAGATAATTAAGTCTCCTTGTGTCATATTCTGGTAGCTACACATGAGATCAATGGTCAGTATAATTAAGCTTTTGACTGTTGCATGCGTATGTAGAGATCTGAAAGTGCTGTAGTTTATTGTAGTGTAACAATCTCATTTTATATACAAAGCAAATGTCTACAATTTAGGAGTAAGGGATCAGGACTGTAAACTAAAGGGATATCAAGGAATGGGCCACTTAACATATTTATATTAGCAATTTAATTTTTGATTGTATGATAATTTCATTCATTTCCATACAGGTTACCAGTTTAGTTTGTTGTCTCCATAGAACAGTTGGTAGAACATTTATCCTTTGAAAATTTCTGGTCTCGGGCTTGTTTCTCGACTGAAGTAGAGGATTAAGTTACCTCCTTTTGCACTCGGATAAACCTGAGTACAGTATACATGATTGAGTGTGCTTTCTGATGGTTGAACAGTCCTTTATTGGACAAGCATCTTGCATCAGGGGCTCAGCATCTGTCCAGCTACCTTGCTTCATAGCAGGAAAAATAGGCAAGGAAAGTTGGGTTATCGTGAGTGCATATAGTAAGTGATAAGACCAAGACACAGAGAGGTTATGGGAAGACCTGAATAAACTGCATTGAAAACTACTAGAAAGTGAGTGACAAAGAGGAGGGGGGAGTTTAAGTGCAAGAGATGATGATAGGGAAGGAGAGGAGGAGGATTCTGGGAAAAAATCAAAATGGGGAGACTGATAGGTGTGTATACTGAGAAAGGGTTGACTGCGATGAACAGACGGCTTCAAAATAAAGTTCAAGTCATGGTGGTCAGATAATGGAGAATTTAGAGAACGGTAAACTGAACTGTATAGTATATTGATTGATGTGACTGTGCAATGGTGGAATGTCACACTGTGTCTGTCCATTATTGATTGAAGGATGATTAATAGTTGGAGGGAAGGTTCATAGTGAAAGGGGATCCAAAGAATTCAGGTAATAATAGCTAAAACACTGCCCAAAAAAGGGATATAGGTAAAAGGTATAAAGATAAGATTGAGATAAGGTGGATGGATCTCTGTACATGGGAGTAGAGTAAAAGGGGAACATCTCATGAGTGCAGTTGATGTGTGTGTGTGTGTGGGGGGGTGGGGGGGGGTACAAGGAAATAGGAAAAATTTTGAGGGAATAGTGTGATGAGAGGACAGCAATGTACAGTAAGGAGATGAGAAGGGCATATGAGTCGGTTACAAGAGAGAAGTGACAGAGGAAGTGACAATTACAGGGAAGGAGGGAGCATTGAATGCTTTCCAGAGTTTTTATAGGAAATATTAATGGTTTGTTAGGAAGGAAGAAGAGTGAAGGAGTGACATCAAATGAAGGGAGAGTATGTGCTTGAGTCTGGCCACTGTTTGTTATAGCAGGAGATGGCTTGAATGAGTGGAAAAAAAGACGCACTTAACATCTGATCTGTTAAGGTAATGGCAGTGGACTTAGACATCTTCGTGTTATTGAGAACTGCCCTTGTCATGCTGAAATCTAATAAATATGAACTCCATCACTTGATTTCTCAGTACTAATCGTATGTGCCCAAATGTTTGTCACAGGAAATCCAGATTATAATACAAAAATACCTGATAAAACCTAACTTAACCTAATCACTTGTCATTTCTTCAACACATATCCAACATGATGTCTTGTACTTTTCTGCAAATACCTTTCCAGATGTTTACCTGTGATTCTCTTAATTATTCAACATATCTTGATATTTTCAGCTGTATATAACTTAACAGCACATCTTTTACAGTCCCCACTTCCCCCAACACTTTATTACAGTACTCCGATACATTTTCCAGCTCTTTTATTATTTCCATTATAAAAAGAACTTCCTTTATGACACTCCTAATCTTATAAAGTATTATGTCACATCTCCAACAGTCTGACACACACTTCTAAGAGGTTTAGTAAACAGGTTCAATACTATTGTTTCGTTTGCTCCACCTGTGGTATTTTATATATTTATTCTTTTAGTATATCTTCAATATTTCTTTTAACACTATCTAATTTTTTCTTATCACCTATATTAACTTCACCATTTCTGTATTTTTTCCATCTAAATCTTCACAAAGTCACATATCTAACTCAACAACATATTGGAACACATACTTCTCTATCCTACAAAAGTAATACTGTATTGTAATCCTATTCTCAAAATGTCATACCTTCTGTTGTCACTTGTTTTCCCACACTTTTCTTTTGGGCAGATTATCTTCACAGTTCATTGATAAATTTTTCTTGTAATTTTATCTGTTGGTTTATTGACACCAAGAAAAATCCCCAAACATTATGGACCCAAGTGTGTAAGCCAAAGTGTTCTCTCATCATAACACTAAACATTATACTATGAATATTAGTGCTCACAAGCCATGTTTAAGAATCTATGCATGTTGATTAGTGAAGTAAATGCAATAAGTTTATAATTTCTTAAACTGTATAGGAGTAAAACCATTTTATTATAAAAGGAAGACATTTTTTAGTCAAGAAATATTAGTACACTAGAGTGAAACCGTTAAATGGCGTTTTTCATATATTTACGCCTTTATATCTTGTTTGCATTTTTATTTAGTATATTTATCCAGTTGATTCAGTAACTTTGGCAATATGTTCTCAAGCATAATAAGTGTAATAAGTCCTTTGTATACAGTAGATACTTAGGTCTGAAAGTTTAATCAGAATAAGAAAAACTGCCAATGAGACCATCTTGTGTTTAACTTATACAGTTTAAGGATTGCATCATGAATGGCTATAAATTAGTTGTTAGTGAATACAGCATGAGAGATGACTAGGATGACTTGATGTTATTTTTTTAGTTCTAAGAGAAACCCCATCAACGCTACACGTTTGTTTATGTTAATGTGAGTCCGTGGGTTTTGGGTGGTGGTGGTGGTCATTGTGCTTGGTGGAGATAAGGGCATTCAGATTACGCTTATCTAATTTATCAGGTGTAGTATTGGCTTTTGTAGTGTGTCCCCAGGCTTGTAAGTGACAGCCAGGATTTTCTTAGTGTTTAAGAGTCAACTGAGTTTTATATGGTTGCTCTCTACGCTGGTCAAGGGGTGTACTGTAGTTGTGTAGGGAGGCTGGTGCTTAACTGATCTCACTACGACTATGAAAGGAGCGCATCTCTAGTACCAGGTGTGCTTTATTCATATGTTGTTGTATTTTAAGTTTATTGATTGTATATACAGTATATATATATGTTTATAAAGTAAGTGTATGCACATTATTTTTCTAATGTTATATTCTATCCACTGTTTGGAAATTTTTATAGCCTGCAATAAATGACTGTGTTTGAAATTGTGTGTGTGTTTATCGGTATATGAATGTTTGTGTCTGCATGCATGTGTGTGTACCGGTATGTGAATGTATATAGTATGTGTAAAAAAGTGAGTGTGTTGGAAGGAAGGGTTTCACTGATGAAGGCTGAGATGGTATGTGACTGGGAGATCAGACGAGTCAATCGCTCTTTGCACTCATGTTAGTGTAGTGTGCAGTTTAGAAGGAAAATTACAAATGTTAGTGTGCGTATGTGTGTGTGAGGAGAAAGTCGATAGAAATGTGAACAAAAGTGGTGAAAACAAATGAACAGAGACATAAAAGAAATAATAATAGCTTGAATGGAGATAATATAGAGGAAGGAGTGTGTGTTAGTTATCTATCAGTGGGCGTGCTTGCATGTGGAATGATAAGTGATGCCCCACAGAGTAATGGAAGGAAGGAGAAGTAATGTATTAGATAGAATGAGATATATATGGGGAGAGAACTGTCGTAGGAGTTAAAGAAGGGCATGTATAGGGATATTATTTTATTGATTACATTATATTACATTTGGTATGGTTAGAGAGCATGGTATTGAGTGATTATTTTTTGGGGGGGGAGGAAGGACTACTGCTGATGGGTGGTGCTGGCTCATGTAAAGCCTCTGGGATAAAGAAGATTTACGGACTTTTACGTGAGTCAGAATGAATGAATGAATGAATGATTACAAATGAATGGAAAAAATGTGTGTGTGTGTGTGTGTGTATTTTCTCTGGTAACTCGCATCTGTTTCCTGCATTAAGTGGGCCTAGGCTTAAAGAAACTGTATATATATGAGTTTATACACTTAGGAGTTATAAATACAGTATAATTCTTTCTTGTTTTGTAGGCTGTTTATTCACATTCATTTCCTTCCCCAGAATTAACCAGATAATAACTGAAATAATTACTTAGGAATTATTTTGTGTATCTTGTGCTATGCCATTTTATGTTGTTGTTATTCATGTTATTCTTAATGTTTTTTATATGTATTTTCATTGGATGGTTTAATACATGTGCATCATAATGTTTAATGTTTTATTACAGTTCATTGTATTTAAACTTTTATAGATGTAACCTAAGTTATTATGTAAGAGGAGACTATTTTCTGTATGTCTCTTGTATGCACAGTATACAGTATACCTTTTATGTATAATGGAAGCCCCTGCTATGTCACAGTACTATACTGTAATGTGTCCTTACATTGTACATGATATTGCCAACTGCAATTCCAGTGGCATTTAAACGTATGAAAAAAAAATGGGTTGCATTCTGAGTCCTCAAAGTCCGTGACACATGAGGCATTTTGGGTCAGTCTGCAGCCAATGTGATATTTACAAGTTACCCTGGAGACAGTATAGCGTGTGCACAGGATGGCACCAACACTGTGAATAATGCAGTTATGTTCACCAGTGTCTGCATACTCAGTGGCATGCTTGGTCGAGCGAGCCAAGGGTCTGCATACTTCGAGGTTCTTACAATAGACATTTCCTGTAACTAAAGGTGTTAGAAGGCACTTACTTAGTTGACTTACACTGAATGAAAAGAAATTCTAAATAAAAATTCCATTAACTCACAGACTTATATGAATTTTTATAGAATCTTTGTCTTGTTCTTTATGGTAAATTATTATCTCCTTGACTGGCATTAAGTAAACTAATCTGGTGAAGATAGTATGACCAAAATTTTTTATTTCCTATTTGAATGTAATTTAGTTTGACAGCCAGTTAGATACATTCTTATGTCTTCAGTTATGAGGAATATTCGTCTGGATCTCAGTCAGCCAGTGATCACAAGGGTCCCGGCCAGACCAGAGATATACCCTGGACCAGTGTGTCTCATGTGGCTGGAACTACAGCCTGTTATTGTTTCAACCAATAACATTATTATAGTAGTCAACTGTGTTTAATTATTTTCATTTAATAATATCCTGCTTAAATGAAATTAAATTGAAAAAAAAAAGGTGAATCATACAGTATTCAGGTTTATGTAACATACACTCGTACATAGGGCAAGTTAGGAATTTTTTATTTATTCGGTAAAATAATTTTGTAAGGTATTTGAATTTGTTACATGTTTTATTTTCAGTTAATTAAAATTTCAAAACTATTTTCATTAAAGTGAAGTTTGAGATAGGTTGGAAGGTTTCACTGGATACTGCAGACTGTGTTAGTTCCAGTACTCTCGTGTGAAGTCCTTAATTAGTTTACTGAGAAATTTTGAATGATGATGTTCATGGCTGTTATATAGCAGAGGCTTCTTATACAGTACTGTACCATTATATATACTGTAACTGTATATACATTTGTGTGTGAATGTGTGTGCTTGGTGATTTCTATTCTTTAGTATTATTATTTAAACTCTGGTTCCATATCATATACTTAACTTAAATTTTCTATGATGTGCTGAGAGAGGGTAGCAAAGAGTCACATACTGAGGGTTTGTAGTGAGGATAAGACATTTATCAAAGATTTATCTTTTAATATCTTTCATTTTAATTGAGTCAATACAGCAACTTTAAGGAGATCTTTTTTGCCGGCTGTTGATTTATTTACAGGCCCTAATACAAGTTTAAGTTCAGTGAGGTAAAGTCAAAGATAAGATTCTCATGATCTTGTCCAGCAATAGTTCAGGGTGAGACGAGGGTTTTTTATTTGTTATTTGTAGCATATCATCTCTTGCTGCTACTCGGAGATCCCTTATGTAGTGTTTATTGGCTGTGTTATCCCAGTAATATTTAATTATTCTTATATTAAATGTTAAATGTCTCCTCTGATGGCTAGGAATGTGATCAAACTAGTGGGTTTCAGACCATTATTATTATTATTATTATTATTATTATTATTATTATTATTATTATTATTATCTTATTATGGCAAGTAGATATTGTTGTTTGCCTTAAGTTCATACACCTCATTGTAGTATTTTATAATTTACATATGCATTGGGTGACTCATGTACAGTACAGTCAGGCGAACAGTTTGACAATTACTTCATATGTTTGACTGGGACTAAATTGTAGAAATTCCAGAGAGACTGTTTTATATTTTTCAACAAGACCATGGCCCCTGGGAAAAGAGGATACTGTACTTGGAGGCATCAGTTACCAGTCAGGCTCAAAACCGAGTGTTCGTCATTATGGTAACACGTGCAATCTGCTATCCATATACGTATGTCACTGGTTATAAAGTAGTCAACACGATCAACACACTTACTTTCAGCCATTTGGCCACGCTGATTGGACAACTTCATGTCATACTCCGTGTGTTTTAGCAGCTAAGTTTTTTCTCTGACACATTTTGAACACTTTATCTCGGGTTAGACTGTTTACCAATCATTTCTAGGTGTACATATAGCATTAGTGTTTATAATTGGACAATATCCTGGTTCCTGGTTGCTGGCAGGTTCAATTGTAGGGTTAACTCTACTTGCCGTTGTGCCTAAACCTTGCAATGTGTAGCTCAGTGTTGTGGTTTACCAGGTGTATGTGTCTGGCCTCAGGTTGCTATAAGGATATTCTAGTTCCTAACCCGGAGCTCAAGGCTTAAGTGTAGTTATGTTTTATCTTTGGCCTTGCCTCCATCCTTCTTGTACAGTAGCTGGCTTTAAGTCATGTATCACCTTAGCCATGATTTAGTGAGATAAGGGATTAATCCTAAAATCCCAGGACTGTACACAACATAGCGTGGATCAGGTGACAGATTTAGTCCTTCTCCAATGGGGTTCTGAGATAAAATGGTTTGTTGATCTTGTTGTTTATTTTATAACCAATGACAAATGTGTTGTCGGGAAGTGGTATGTTAGCATTGAGGTGAAGATTAAGCTTTTAAGATTGATTGACAACAGATACCTCCAAGTACTTGTTTTGGTCAACGATTGTGATGAGAAATATATTCTCTTTACATTATATTTCTTGAATTTATTCCATCCCACTCGTCTTGGGAGCTCTGGTTGCCGCTGTATATGAGTCACCAATCCATGCTTGGTTTTAAATTGGTATATATTTGTTCTATCCTTCCCTTATTTATGTGCATCAAATATATATGGAATTTAGGTACATTACGTATAATGCAAATTACAGTACCAAAAAACCAGAATGTACATCTGCTTCGTGTACAGTATATGTGTATGATTGAGTGGTATGTTAAAAAAGAATGATTAAGGCTAGTTACCCGATAGTATTATTTTTATCATTCTTGGAGACTAAATAATAGGAGAGGAAATATTTATAATTCGTTCTTTGACACCACATTGCGAATAGTTTTACCGAATTTGTAGTTGTGGAATTTTTGCAGAACTCGTCTCTTAAGATTTTTGTATTAGTCATTTCTATAGATTTTAAATACGTTAACTTCATTCATTATTATTTTCTTAAAGCCTCCTATACTGTACTGTATAAATATTTTTAATCCTAATAGAAATGTGGATTGTATTTTATGATCATACAATTTCATAAAAGTGGGTTTATTTCGGTGTTAAGTACAGTTAATTATAGTCATTGTATAAGGAAACACTGATGGTGATTTATCGGTACACATGTGAGTCGTAAATTTCATCAGAACTTATGTAGATGTATAAAATATATTCAGTTTGGGTAATTTTATTTTATTAAATTTTTTTTTATCTGATTATTGATTAATTGTCCAGTTAAAGTTTTTTAGATGTGCATATCGATATGTAATTTAGAATATGTAATGAATGGTTAGTTTATACGAAACGACCGTAGTTGTAAGCATTTTAATTTGGGGAGGAATTATAATAAACATGAATGTAAGTGTATAAGAAGTGGTGAAAGGATCAGTGTCTTTTGATCCGTCACTTTTTGGCTGAGTAGATAAAACAGTGTCGGTAAATATGATGTGACTGTATATGTATATGTATCCCTATGCATATGTATATTGTGTAAGTATAATTACCCAGTTTATTATTTTCAGTTAAGAAATTTATCATTGGACATTTTCTTTTAGATATTTAAGTTTTGTTTTATGCTGGTAATGTTGTTTGAATCGTCCTTGGATCTCGTCTCTTGCCTACGTATAGGTGACGACACAATGCTGGGCGATCAGTCCTACCGATACCTCACTGTAGATGAGATGAAGTCTCTTGGCGATGATTCTCTCCCCATCGACGTCACCAAGGATGAGAAGATGGATGTGTCTTTCATAAGCAACTCGATGGCAGGTGAGGAATGGAATTTTTGGGGTTATGTATCAGTGTAGGTTATATTCTGTATCTATGTATGATCTATTATTACACGTATTATTATTCAGTTACTTTATGTATACTGTATATATGTCTACAGGATAGCTCTATTAGTTGAGCTTAGGTGGTTGTCCTTGAGTGTCTAGTGAGGGCCATCCTGATTGGTCCAGGGCTTAGCACAAGAGGAAACTGAAGTGTCTAGTGAAAACCTACGATGTTGAGTAGAGTCACTGTACAATATACCTTCTCGCATCCAACCCAGGATTGAAGTTTGGACATAGTAGTGTTTGATACCACTGTCTGTACCACAAACACCTCTATGGATGGAATCAATACAGCACAAAATTTAGTGATTCCAATGCTGTTGTATATTTGTTATTCTTATCGACAATGAAGATGTTTGAGTTTATTGATAAAGTTTGACTGAGAGAGCAATGATATCTCAAGCATAACTAATGGTGTAGAGAGCAGACAGCATGTATGATAGTTGTTCAGGAAGGGAGATAATATGGGCCCTGCTGTACTTAATCTTCAAATCAGTGAATGTTACAGTGCTTAGAATTTCCAGTTTGGGTCAATTAGTGCATATGATGAATTTTGTGATAGTGTGTGTTTAGTGCATTTTAGGGTTAGTTATGGTGTGGCTGAATTAGATATTAGATGTACAGTATTGTAGTTATTTATTTTATCTGTGTATTTATTTATTTATTTTTCTAACTCATTCATAGCTCCACCAGTGGCTCCAGCAGATCAGTTGAGCCCACAACATCAAAAGGAACATCACTACCCACAGTTCACCGGTCATTATCCATCAGACAATGTTGATGTTGCCAAGACTCCCATCCTTGCTGGGTAAGTTGGTTACTTGTCCCTACGTTGATTTTTTTTAAATATATTTCTATCGGTATAGATATTTTTACTTTTTACTTTTCAGTTTGAAGAGCAGTTTAATGTAGCTTATGAATTCCAGATATTATTCTCGTTATTATGCCGCTTGTGATGGAGTTTTTGTAGGGCATTTAATATGTTCTCGTATATACCTGTAGACGCAGATTATGAATATACCTGTACAGTATACTGTAGTCGCATTTTAATGTAAAGGTATTTTGTGTTAAAAGTATGTAGTTGTTGTATAGATAAGAAACATATTTAAAGCTGAAGAGGAGGGAAAATTAATTAATATGTACATTACAGTATTAGTGTATTTATTGATTCAAGAGACTGTCGGTAGAAATAAGAAGATTTGTCAGTGTAGGAACAAAGGTGAAATAAATCAGTTTCTGGTTCATGATTACATGTTAGGTTAGGTTGAGTTCTTAGGTTCTATGTCACTGCAATGTTGTATATAGGACAAGTTAGCCTTCAGAAACAGGGTCCTGGAAACTGGAGAATAACCATCTTAATCAGTATTTTTTAGTATAATTGGTGTATAAACAGAATTAGTTTGTTTGCCCCATATAAATTACTTCAAAATACAAGTTAAGTCAAAAGTCTAACTTTCATATATGTTATTTATGTTAGTTGTTGTAATAGTCAGGCAAAATATTAAAACTATTCGATCTTGATATATTTAGGTACAATTATTTCAACAGGGAGGCAGAATAGAAATATATATTGTAATTTACGTTGAATACATCTAGTGTACTCGGCATCAGTTTAATCTTATGTGCAGTATAGTGTCATATTTTCCATAGTGGATGTGTTGGTAAGCAGATTCCCCGTACTGTATAGCGTCACCATCCTCATACCTAAATGGAAACTGAATCTGAAGAACTTGAGACCCAAATTTTTATATCAGTTGTATTTTTATAATGGTTAAAACATTGCAGGACTATTTTATGTATACCAGTTAATATTATGGGTTAAACAGTATACAGAGTAGCTATTGGTATACAGAAATTCTCTACTATTTAGTATTTAACAAGCAGTGTTTTTATTGGCATCTTAATTAACTTTCTCTTGTTGCTGTTGTGTTTTTCCACAATTGTCACAGCTCTAAGCTTCTTGTATGTTCATCAACACATACTTAACATGTGAGTGTTCTGTGCTTAAGTCGAGATTCTCTTCAGGATTGTCAGGCTGATAAAACAATATGGATACGTTATTATATTCTTCACCATCTAACCTCAGTAATGCCTGGCCAAGTTTGTATCGGGGTGTTAAGGTTCTCGTCCCCCTGGTGTCCTGTCATAACCTTTCCGCTTGACGTTCTTCACCTTTCAGACAGAGACGGTTTATTCTCAGACTGTATAAAGGATAACATTATTGCTTGCAGAGGACCGGGAGTAAACCAACTTTCCATATCAGGGCTTGATTATACTCTCATGATGACTACATAATTGGCTAAAGCTTTGCTGGTGAGGTTTTAAATGTCACAGCTTTTGGGGATTTGGTGTCTATGAGCAGATTAAACACATACAGGTAGAGGTATTGTATATATTATAAGATGTTGGATCTGAGGGACTTACAACAGGTGCAGTAACAGGTGTCATACTGATTATGGGTGTGTACTATTAACCCCTTCCACACAGTGACATAAAACTTGAAGTGAATGGAGGTAGAATTGTATAAATTTAGGAAAATATTGAATATTTCTAAGTTAATTGGATTTGTGTGATGTTTAGTTGTGGATGTTTAGGTTTTTACTCCCCCCGGCATTTATGAAGGGAATTTAATCTCCATATTAGCTGAAGAAAGTAAAAAAAAAAAATGCCAAATTGATATCTCGGCCCCTTCAGTAACGGATTAAAATGATCACGTGTTATAGAAAAAAAAAACGTAAATTTTATATTTTCAACGAGGAAAATTGAGCAGCTGATTTTGTCTCATTTTATTACATACAATACATTTATGTCATTCTACCCAGCGTGATCTTTCGGTGTATTATTTAAAATTTGTGAATTTTAAATATATAATTTTATCTTTATTTTGTATTGTATATATTTTAAATATGCCATGGTATCTTGGATTCATTGGTAAAAGGATATACAGTATACTCTTGAGATTTTTTGCAATTCATTACTACTTGAAAGCTTGATTTATTAGCTAGATATAAAGTGATACTGTGTTAGTTGAGGGTGCTCCGGGGGTTAGAGATTTTATATATAGTGCTGTTAAAATGAAAAGTGAGGAGGAGAATAGACAGACTATAGGCTTGCCCAAGTGACCAAAGGGAGGAGGGGGGTTGCTGGAGGATGTAGTTTCTTATTTAAAATTTGTCTTTTTTACAAACCGTTTTTATTTGAATTTTTAAACGTCTTCAGATTTGGGTTACGTATGAACTTGATGTTCCTTAGATTGAATTCCTTTTTTGTCGCATTTTAATTATCTTCTTCATTATGTATCCTGTGTAAGGAACGTGAAGTGAAGAAGATTTAGATTAACGCCCAAATCTGAAAGAACGTTGGTACTGTTGTGAGTGTGATGAGGTGTGTGTTGAAGGGGTTAAGAATGGTATGAATACAGTAACATGTAATTCTTATGTACTGTAGTTGTAATAGGATTCCTCTTGGTAGAATTTTTATTTGAAATTATCTCTTTATGATTATATGTTAAGGAGAAATAAAGTCATGAAACTTGTAGAAGAGTAAGCAAGGAAAAAAAATATAATGATCTGGCTTTGGGGTTGGTAGGCCGGAGTCTTTGAACACGACTCTCAACACAACTGTAGACTCAGCCATGATTGAGTCTCAGATTGAGCCTCAGATCATCCAGACCAAGTTAGCTCCTCAGTTGTCTGCCCAAATGAACCAGGAACAAGTTCAGCTCACCCCAGTGCAGCAAATACCAGTTCAGAACAACTCAGACCAAGTCACGTCGGGCCAGTTCGCTTCCGTAACTGAGAAGTCTGCCGAGATTCTCAATGGGTGGGAAGGGTATGTCCCAAGGCTTGTGTGTGTCTCCAGGAAAGATTATGTAGCTGAAATAACGAGTGTGGGTTCTTGTGTTCATTTTTCTCACACAAATTGGTGCACAAAATTCAGTTACAATTTTGTATCTTTATTAATCTTTTTTATAACTTTCTAATTCCCATAAGGACCTGGAGTGAAAGCAATAATTACTTCACTGATTGAATGGAAGATAATACAAGCAGTCTATTAATTATTAACATAGATCTTTAATAATACTGTCATGCCTTATTCAGTACAGCACTGTGGTAGTTTCGGTGAGAACATTTAAACGTTGAAAGAAACTATCACTTAGAATAATAGGGTTAATATCGGAGTAACTGTCAAATAAATAAAGTTTTGACGAAGAGTGAAAATTATATTTAGTGTTTATATAAAATAGTTGAACTGTTATGGAATTTAAAACTATGCATATGAATTTTCTGGAGGCATCATGCACCTGGGTAAAACGATGTTTATTGTGTGGTTTGAGAATTTCCTTTATCCGCACCACATCCAACCCCATTTACCTCATGTGGACTGTCATCGCAGCACATGTTGTTGATGTGCTGGATACCTGCCAGGCACTGATGACATATTACTTCCCATTGATTTATTTTCCTAACTTACCTCTTGGCTGTGCTTGCAAGTGATTGAAATTATTGTTATTTTTATTTCATATCATAATTATATTTTTCTTATGTAGATTTCAGTCATACATAAGAAATCAAAGTTTAGTTCAGTTATGTGTAATAGATCGGTTTTTAATTTGTAAGTTTCAGCATCAGTAAACTATAAATCTATTATTTCTAAAATTCTGCATGCAAACTCAGCCATTGTGTGTGTGTGTGTGTGTGTGTGTGTGTATTACATCAGTCTCATGAAGTACTCTACTTGACCAAAAATCTGAAGGAAATTATGTGCATATTTCATATTTGTAGTTCAAATGACTTGTCACTTTGGATATAAGAAAATTTATGTTTTGAGAAAGTTTGCTTGGAAAATGCAGTGATCATTTTCTTCTAAGAATTCCTTTACCTCTTAAAAGATCATTCAGAGGAGTGTAGTATTATTAAGAGAGTTTATACCCATCTAGAATGGATTTTCATGAGACTTCTTTAGTGAATATTAATGATTTACTATAGTTGTAATTGCAGGAAATATTGGAATGTTGCTACAGCACTAATTATTCATTGCCCCTGTGTCTGTCTGTACTTGTCAAATGTCATGTAGTATCTAAAACAAGTATAATTTTTGACATCATCATCATCATCATCATCATAGAAAGTGTTAACTATGCAGTGATCATAGAAGCCAGTGGAAAAGGTTCAGTTTGAGCATCTGTTGCAGCTTTGATGATTTAAGTGGGAGGTTTTGTTGCATATTATGATAACTTATCTATTCTCTATGGGCTGGTTCAGCTACAAGAGTTTCCAGAGTCTGGGAAGTGCCAATCGTTCATCAGTGTACTCGTTTCTCACCAGCGACTCTGAAACTCCGGAGAATGGTTGGCCATATTTTAGAAGGTAAAACAGGGCATTGGAAACGACTAAAATAACTAATGTCCTGTTGCTTCGATCTGTGGGATAAACTGTTGCTGGAATTATTTCTTGTTTGGGAATACACTGTGTTGGGCCACTTGATTCAAAATTATTGCTCTTTTCTGTATGGGTCTCTTTGACAACTAACAATCAGTGTTTCAACATATTGCTCACTCAGTCTATTCTTGTATACATTTTCAAAGCTTTGCTTAGGGTTAATTTTGCTTAAAACTATGGAAGCCCTTTGAAGTAAAAATACTCATGAGTATTCTATATTACTACAAGAGTCAATAGTACAAGAAATGTTAATAATCTTTCAAAATATATGAAATATAATTTGTGGAGTGAATAAAGATGGCCACTTGTGAAGCCAGGCTCTGAGATCACCCATGAAAAAGCCACTGCCAGGTGCCAGAAATAGATTCTGTGAGACACGTAGAGAAAGTCCACGGCTGGCTCAGTCTTGGCTGGGTATTGTGACGGGCTTCACTACTCCTCTCCACTCTCCTTCCACCACATAATGGCTGTTAAACAACGGTAGTTATTATTGTAGGATAGAAGAGTAACCGTAGGAGCTTTGAGTGTTGCCTGATTGTGTGATTTGCTACACTACTCATAAGTGAGATGTAGGATAAGGAGCTTTAGGTTTGTTAATGCCTATTTATTGCTTTTGTCCCCCATGCCCCTCCCTGTTTGCTGTTGGTTCTAAATCATAAATCAAATTAATATTTTTTTTGTTATATTGCAAAATTCATCCAATTTTAAACAGATTTTTGTTGTTGCTTATCTAATTAAACCAATTTTATCCTAATGTATTCAGCACTGTTGATAGTTCATCTTTTAATGTTGGCTTAGTCTGGCAGTAATCCATATAAAGCTTGATTTGTGTGTGCACTTGGTCTGAAAAAAGCAAAAAAAAAAAAAAATGATTAGGTGGCTTGACAAGTTGGGATGTACACCTGTAAGCCAGCACTTAAGATGTGGTATAGTCCTTGGGTGGAGTAGGACCTTTGCCTGAGTGCTGCAGGCTGGTGTGCTATACTGCTGTGTTAACTGTGAGCCTACTTGCCCTGGCCATGGGGGTTACAGAGTGAGCCTGAACAGCCTGGCGTCCTGTCTGTCATCTGGGACCAACACCTCGGGCATGTGGCGCGACAGGTTGGCACGCTCACGTCATGCATCCTATAGTCTCCACCAATACTCTTATAGAAACTTTTGACCCAATTTGAAGTTTGTTGCAAGCATAAAACATTGTGTAAAGTGACCCATTAATATCTTCAGGAGTTGTTTACATGTTCAAAAATTTTCTCCTGTCCTGGAATTGAAAAAAAAAGATCTATTCTATGTTGATTAACCTTGCAGCAAGTTTTGAGTGGGTGCATTCTAAATCAATAAGGATGTTTAGTATTCAGTGAGTCTCCCTGTTTGCCTGTATCTATCTCTGCCCACTCCTGACAACAGAGCTTATGACAGGGGGGTCTGGCAATGTTCCAACACTCTTGGAGATGATTGAGCAACCTTGTTACATGAGCTTTGTTATTTCCTGTAGACAAGATGTGATACCATAACTCTTTTAGTGCATTAGAGATAAATTTACTCGTTTCTGTTTCAGTTGAGATTATAGATAAGATAAAGAACGGTTATACAATAAAGTTAGACTGGGCTAAAAATAGGGGTAGTAGTTAAAACTAGGAGTTCAGTGGGGAGAAGTTGGATACTCTCCACTTTTTAGAGGGAGTGTAATCATCGGTGGCTGTTTTGTATGCGTGTTGCTTGTATATGTTATAGTGTAATTTTGTGTGTGTGTGAGTTTTCTGGTGTGTTTCTGTTTTGAGTGTTCTTGTGTGTTTTGTTTGTGTTTCTTTTTTGGTGTGTGTGAGATGCTTTTCAGCGCAATAAATCATACAAAATCTGGTGGATTGATAAGAAACTTGGTAGGTCACTGGGTCAGAAGTCAGGATCACTGGTACAGTATTGCCCTAGCTGGTTAAGAAGTCTCCTGGTCTTTAAACTGAACCAAGGAAATAGGAAAAAATAAACAAAAATGGGGTTTAAGTAGGCATTTAGAATTTATGCTGTATTATGAGTGCTAAGAGAATTGATAGATTAGAGATTGAATATGTAGCAAATGAATATGAGATGGCATAGAAAGATGTGATATGTGAATGATACGCCCAGTACCATAAAATGATGTTATTGTCTGTGATATTATTGTGAAAAATAGGAGAGGCAGAGATTAAACCAAGAAACAGATGGTATTTGTGAATAGTTGTGAAAAATGTATAGGAATTTGTACATGTATATAAGAGTATAATTTTTTGATCCAGAATATTTATTTTTACTCTTCACCATAATATTGAGCTGTTGTTGATGTTCATTTTATTAATTTCTTTAAAAGAGTTATGCATTAGGTCTTGTCTATAAGGTTATGTTGTACAGGTTTTAGTGGGCGTTAAAACTGGGTTCAGCCAAAGCTGTAAACTTGTGGCAGCAACATTGCCTTGTGGTAGTGGCTTCTTTACCTTTGAGTGGTGTCACATAACATTGTAACCTGGGACCCCAACATGTTCCTTAAAAAAAGTATAATTAAAAAAGTATGACAGTTTTTATATTATTTTGTTACTTTTTTTATTATTTTTGGTGATTTTTTGTTATATTAAAATTTTTACTCCTCAAGAAAGTGTATACCATTATTTTACTGTATTAGACGCCACTCGTCAAGATAAAGAACGTCATTCACTGATTACGATGAGATTGTTGAAGCATGAAGAGCATAGAGCATGACGACTCTTTAATAAATGAAGTGTGAACATAGAATGCTGATGGGGAAAGAAGACTGCTTTATCTACCTCTCTCCTTGATGAGTTTAGTGAAAGACTGGTAGATAAATAGTACAGTTTCATTCTTCTTTTTTTTACACCAAATGAATGAAATGTAGAGTTTTCCCTCCATGACTAATATAACTAAACAAAATATATATATACCTGTATATCATAGGGTATTAACTTCTAGTATTGCACACACACTGTTCCTACCCACAGCATTTCCTACCTCCAGCTTAAATAGATCCCTCTCTTAGAAGTATATCGTACACCTTCCGAGAAAACATCAAACACTGGCTTTTTCATGGCACACGTGGGAAGCTATTTACAGCATTAACTTGTGTCCCTCCTGTATGGAAATTTGGCTTCGACCAGGAAATTGACCGTATGCGTTGTGAAAATTTTTAACCACGGATGTTATATGGGCCTTGTAAATCTATGTAAACTTTAACCACTGATGTTATGTGGGCCCTGTAAATGAAGACTTTATCCATTATGTGGGCTCTGTAGATAGGAACATGGGCCCCAAGGTAATTGCTGTGTCAAGCTGCCACAGTAGAGGAGGAACAGAAAACTGAAATTGGTAAATCAGTCGTGACAAATATCAAATTAATATCTAAGGAAGACCTTTGATTTGGCTTTTATCATTGTTGAAACTGTTCTTGCAAATGTTAACCTTGTATTGAAGTTGTGAGGATTGTTTATTTGATATTTTTGAATCTAAATACACTTATTTGTTTTTCCAAATACAGTATTATCGGTATATAAAATCATTTGATAATTATAATGTTAACTCTGGTAATTTGTTAAAGAGAAAGAGTAATTTAGTTTTATGTTGAAAAGTTTGTGTGAGAGATTGGAAAGAGGATGGTATACTGAGTTAATGAATGTAGTATTGTATTGTGAACAGCAAAAGGTGAAAATAGTGAATAATGAATGTACAGTAGTATAGTATGATAAACTTAGTAAGTGTATAAAGGCAATGTGTATGAGAGAATAGAGTGAAAAAGAGTTAAGAGAAACAGAAGTAGATATATATTTATCGCTAGTGATGAACCAAGGAATACATATATAGAAGAAGGTTTTATTATTGCAGTAGTCAGGTATTTGCTGTGAATTTTGATAACCTGTTCTCTGTATATATTTTGGAATTGAAATTTAGATACCAAGAGTTGAGATATAGTTTTATATTGCTAGATTATATAAAGATTAGTGGAAGTAAATATTAAGATGAATCAAGTGGTGTAGGAGTGATGAAAGCTACAGTTGTAAGCAGATAAATGTGGGGCAGTGATGGTGGAATAGTTAAACAACAAGTAGGTAAATTAGATGATGTTTTTGAAGGAGTAGCGTATGGAAGTCAGAGTGAATAGACTAGGGACAGTGGTTATCAAAGGGGAAGGTTAGTTATTGTGGTATTTAATGTTGATGCAGTGTCTTGTGTAGGCTGATGGTTGATGTCAAATTTGAAAAAAAAAATAAATAAAAGTGTGTGTAAATGAATTGTATTCGTGTAGTGTAGAAGAAAGTTGAGAGTAAGGCAGTGGGAAAGAGTGAAAGGTTACTTAGCTAAGATAGATATTGGAAGTGCGCCAAGATCACGATGTATGAAGAATGATTTAAGTAGAACACCTGGATGCCATGTTAGAAAAATCTCATAGGATATTAATTGATTTAAATGTTCTCTTATTTGTCTAATTTCCTCAACCATAAATACCAGAAGGTAATACTGTACTGTACAGGAAGCTCTATTATGAAATTTTTTTTTGAAGGTTTATGGCATCTATATTCTACACCAGCCATGAAAATGTAACTTTGGGAATTTTCCAGGAAGGATTAAACTGTGGGAGTCAAGTCAACAAAGGCAGAAATTCTGTTCTCTGTGATTTAGAGTTATGATGCTTGTGCAGTTGTGTTGTCGTAGGCCAGCTTACCAGTGTGTGTTTTTGTTAGATGGTTCCGTAGGGGTGTTTTAATCGTGATGTGACTTTAAGTACTGTACAATGATTTGGCATTGTTCTTGTGTGAATTGTGAAGCAATTACTGTACCGTGTTGCTTCGCTGAAAAGTGCCGTTGATGGTTTACGACTACTTGAATTTGAGAAGGAATCATCGCCTCTTTGTCTTAATCAGCTGTCTGTATGTTAGTCATGATTACACAACACAGTACATTTTTTGTGTGTGTTCTAACATCCATTGTTCTCCACAAGCTAACTTTTTATGTGGGGCTTTTGTACAGCTAGTAACTAATTGTGCATTTCTAACCTTTCTTGCACGCTTCATGTAACAGCAAACTCTCCTGGAAGACGTGAGTATCCAGTGTTTTGGCCTGCGTCTAGACTTCTCATACATTTATTTATTCACAATAAAAAACAAGTTGATTACTAATATTCTTGTACTATATTTCTTGGGTTTGTTTTGTGATCTTAGGTTCTGAGTAGAGTTTGATTGCATTCTTTTTTCAGCTTTTTTCTGTTCTTTGACATAATAGTAGGATGTCTTTTATTTCAGGCATTCTACTAGCTTAACAATTTAACTTTGAAATGATGCTCAGGATGCCATCACTACTGTACAAAATTGTCTTACTGCCTGTGCTGTATTTTGTCATATGCTATATTGTGTAAATGTAAATTTGTTAGTGGGATTATACTGAGAATCCCTTTGAAAATACAGTTTACAGAGAAATTCATTGATATGTGATACTACATTTGATTATTATGGACCTAGAGATGTCTTCCTACATATTTCTTACTTAATGATAACATGAAATTTATAGTCAGTGAGACCATTCATTCAAATTCAAAATATTATTCCAGAGTTTTTGCATAAAAGGAAAAGAATTTATATAATAAGACTTCAGATATAGTCAGTTTTTTAGTTAAGAGAAAAATATATTTATACTGAAATACTCTACACAATACAGAACTGTTGTTAATAAGAATGAACAGCTCTGACAGTGATTATATGTAACAGATTCTTGGTGAGCTTCATGGTTGATGCTCGAGGTGGAGCCATGCGTGGCTGCAGGCATTCTGGCGTGCGTGTTATCATTCCACCTCGAAAAGCTGCCATGCCCATGAGGGTCACCTGCCGTTACTTGAAGAAGGATAAGTTGGTCCACGCTCCCCCGCTCATGGAGGGCGAAGCTCTTGCCTCAAGGATCCTTGAAATGGGTCCCGCTGGTGCCAAGTTCCTCGGGTGAGTTGTCCTGTAGCAGTAAATCTTTCTCTTGGTGTCAGCAGGATGTATATGAGGATTTATAAACAAGAACAGTCATGGTTAGCTTGTCTAAAGTGTTTGTTCATGTAACTATCAGACTCTTGGTTAGTTGTCTATGTTCATTTGGTTTTTATCATCTTAATTTGTCTGAGAAGGCTATAGTCATGCCATTAAGTTAATATTTAGTTAATATGAATATTTTTATCTGTGTGACCAGGTATAATACAAAGCAAAATATAATTGAAGTTTATTTGTTTAGCTTTGATCATGTATGAATCCCTTATATAGTAAAGGCCATTACAATAAACACTTTTGAAAAATTTCTCCCTTTGCCAATATAAATAATCCATTTGTGTCGTGGAAAGCTTTAAAATCTGCAAAAAAAAAAACAAAAAAAACAGACTTAGAGTAGACCAGTTGGTTAGAGTATTAATGGAAAGGGCACTTTTGTTACCTGACCGTATGGCCATAGCTAATTCTATGTTACTTCTGTCAGGGATAGAACAGAATCTCATCTCTCGTACAATCTTCTCCAACAGCCCTGTGATTATTGAGGTGCCGCACTTTGCTTCCCTGAGAGGTAAAGAGCGTGAGATTGTGATCCTTCGCTCAGACAACGGAGAGACTTGGCGGGAACATACACTCGAGGCTACTGAGGAAGCCGTACAGGAGGTTCTGAATGAGAGCTTTGATGGAGAGGGTAAGTTTGAAAATAGTTCCTGAGAATGTGAGTCCCATAGGTCTGACTGCTTGTTGGGGGCAGTGTGGTTATAACAGTGTAGATTAAGCTCTCTTTGATGAGGGAGGCACTGCACTTGATCATTCCAATTGTAGAATAAAAGCTCACTTCCTGTCCTGAGGTGTCACTGCTTTGTGACTGGGATGCTCTCGGTCCACAGTTATAAATAGATACCGAGCTATATACTTATGAAGGCTTAGTACTCGACCTTCTTGCCACTTATCAGGTCATCAGTCTTGTGGGACCCATTGTGTTTTTTTGACTCTGAAACAATTCCAATATATTTCTTGTCTTTACTCGAGTAATATTTTTCTTAGGACAGTGAACTACTTGGTTTATTGTTATATTTGTATGAAAATTAATTATTAACTGAAAATAAACCAGAAATGTGAATTAAATGTACTAAATGTTTTGCCAACAGAGTTGAAGCAACTGGAGGACCTGAACACCAACCGCATCACTCGCATCCTTACCACCGACTTCCCCCAGTACTTTGCAATTGTCACCCGCATCAGGCAGGAGGTAAGTATTTATAATTTTTTTTAATCTCTGTGGCTTTAGGACCAATGTGTGTGTATGCGTGCATGTGCGTGTCTTCTGAAACCTCTGTACATATTCCTGAAATCTTGACATAGAGAATGATCTTATGATTTCCAATACATCATCTCTCTCACTTCTGATTGCTCCTCCTTCATGTACCTAGATTCCCCTATTTCACATCTATATGAGTAGGTGTATGATTAATAGGGCAGAATAACAGGGAGTGGATCAAGGCTATTGTTTTTTGCCGAGAGTTTTGTAAATGTTCGATTCTTGTTACGAGGAACAGTTATTCCCCTGTCTCCTTGGATATCTAGGTGCAGCTGAGAGAACAAAAGTTGTTTTTTTACAGTACCTTGCTTCTTATATAATGAATGACAAGTTGGGTTCAGTCATGAGAGATATGTGAGCTGGGAACATGGGTCACTCATCAGGGCCTATGACTATAAGGAGTTACTAGCAGCCTTTGAAGCATAGTATCCGAGTCAACAGTGATTACCACATTGCCTAGTGGTATGTGATCTCATGTGATCAAATAGAAGAATTAATAGCAGAATTTAGATATCTTCAGAGATAAATAAAGTATCTCAGTGGTATCCCAGATAATCATGTTTACGTCATTGAATATTCTCACATATTAAAGAAGCTCATTTTTGTTTACTGAAATGAGATGTATAATTCTTTTCTTTAGATTATGATTTTATAACATATGTACTGGCATTATCTTTGTATTAATTTTGTATTCCTTTATTTTTTCAGGTCCATGCAATTGGCCCTGAGGGAGGTATGGTGTCATCGACTGTGGTGCCTCAGGTCCAGGCGGTGTTCCCCCAGGGAGCTCTCACGAAGAAGATCAAAGTGGGACTCCAGGTAAACCTCTTCAAGCCCCGCAAAAACCACACTGGACCCATGAAAAAGATTAGCGTCAATAACATTCCCAAGAAGAAGCGATTTAGTCTTATTTGGTGAATTAAACACACACAGGGTTCAGAGAAAATTCAGGGCTAAGTCAGCTTGTTTTTGTTTGTTTTTCTCAACAAAGATATTTTCAATTTCTGCAGTTGCTTCTCATTATTATCATATAGTCCTGTATAACCACTTTTGACGTTTAAGTTTGCAAAGAATATTCTACGCTGCCAAGAATAGTTATGTAATACTTTGGGGACAAGTATTTCATTGGCCTTAGCATAATAATTCGATAATGAAATAAAACTGCTTATGGGCTGCATATTGCCTGACTGAAGTAAAGTTTATTACAATAATACTTTAATGAGTAATACTTGCTAATTCTATATAAAATTAGTTTTGATCTTAAGTGAATGAGAAGAAGTATTTAGACTGCAACTCAGGAAGATATCTTGTGGTAATATACAGTATTTATCAAGTTTATCATTATATGCCAAATTCTTAGAAATAATCTCAAGTACCACTTAAGCTAATAATCAAAGGGAATGGATAATTCACACACACTTGCTTACAATATCCGTAAAATTAGGTAATAAAAGCGTAGAGTAGTTTTAAGATTTTATTTATTGGCTTTTATTTATTTTACGCAATCTAGTCACTTTTTATACCTTTTTATTTCCAGCATTGATAGATTTAATTTTATTTTTGTTACTTTTCTTCTATTATTTTATCTGTGTTGTTTGTTGCAGGAATATTTTTTTATATAGATAAATTTTGGTCATGGTGAGATTTGAATACTACTTAAGATGTCACTGTATGGATTTTTGGTTGAGAGAGCTGAGCAAAAGTTATGATTCCCGTGCATGAGTATGTAGTGTGTTGATTACCTAGTTGTACTGTATAAGTGTTCGGTGTTTTATTTGAATTTTTTTTTTAATCTCCTACCACCACCATTTGCATGAGTTAGTTTGCACGATTTGGGCTTTTATTTTGCTTTTTAAACTCAGGATATTTTTTTTTTGTATTGCTAATTTCACTCTTGGTTTTATCTCGGTCTTTTGGTTCATGATTTTTCTAGTATTTTATTATTTTTGTTATTTTCTTTTTTCTGTGACGATTTTTTTTTAGATGACAGAAGGGAGTTAGAACTGAAGGCTTACTATAGACTTTTGAGTATTAGAAGGAAAAAATCACTTTAGAAAACGTTCACCAAAGTTAGCAGTCAAATTCCCAGTTAAAAAGACTTGTATATCTCTTTGGTCTTTCTATGCAGCAGAAAGACTTTAAGGCTGAACCTGTCGTGCACGGAGAAAAGGATGCGTTTCGTGGGTTATTTATGCTAGGTTTTCCTTTTGGTATTGTGAATAGTAAAAGTTATATCAGGATTGTAATGGAGAGAAAATTATTCCTTTGAGAACTCTTTTCAGTCAGTAGTCGGTGAACCTTACTCGACAATAGCCAATGAATCTTTGCATCTTTTATCCCGTGCATGACTTGTATTTAACACATATTATTGAGTCATTAAGTGATTCACATTGAAGAAACATCATCACCTAGTCTAACACATCCCTTCCTAGCATTACTCACAACTTAGTATTACAACCTGTAGCCCATACTCTTGGGAACGTGAATGTGATGAGACCAGCGACTAGGCCTTGGATAAAGCTTCAGTAAGGCCGACTTTCACTTGTTTAGTTTGTACAAGTCGAATCCTCTTATTGTAGTGTCCTAAGGTCAGAGCCTCTGATAATATCACAGCTGTTTACTGCCTTTTTGAGAGCAATTATTTTTATATGTAGTATTAAAACCTTTGGCAACAACTGTAGACTCTGTCATTGTACTGTACAGTATAACAAAGCGCTCACTTCAAAGTGTAACAAATGCAGTTTCTGGATATAGTGGATAACAACACATGATAAAGCTCAAGTGAAGTTTTGTGTACAGTCTACAGTACTAGATGGTAATATGTTGTATGATAAGCTAATACAGTAGTGACTTAAGATGTAGGCAACTTGTAAACATTAATGTTTAATTTATATTGATCTCAGCACATTGAAATATTAATTTATATAATATTCTTTTTACACTGAATCTCATACTTTAATTTTTGTGAAAAAAAAAAATGTACTTACACTGAACCACTAATATTACCAGCCGTTTCCCAGCATCATAACAGCGTGAACCTAGAAATAGTCTATGGAAGATAATTGTGTCCTTACGTTATGGTAATGGTGGCGTGGATGTGATGGTGTTAAACATTGCCTTACGTCATGTACAGGTTGTCATTATCTTCCATATAGCCACACATGTTAGAGTACAGACCAACCTTGTGGTACCCTCTCTCTCTCTTTCATCATCTTTCTCCATTGGATGAACAGCACCAGCCTCTTCTAAGTCTCTGTAGGCATTGTGTCTGTTCCAGGTGCTGCAGTAAATTTGTTTCCTCTTTATAATGGTTAAAGAAATCCGCTCAACGGGTTTCTTAGACATTGTGAAATATAAAACTGAGGTATTCATTCACCTAATACCATTGCACCTCACATTTGATGGACTAGTATGCCTAAGTGATGAAAGAGAAAGCAAATGCAGTTGGGATGTAGGCAGCTAAAGTTATATGATGTATCCTCTTTTATTGGATTTAGAAATGTCTCACTTCATATAAGTCTGTAGAGGCTTGGGGGTTGCCATGTGGTGGACACAGGTAAGGAAGGGACCGACAGACAGTTGCAAAACCTCGCAGCTTACACTAGAATCTCAAGCAACTGGGGAACTAATTAATAGTAGCATGTGGCTGTGTGTGGTTTTGTAACTCTCTGTGTCACATTTTCTAATAATCACTTGTGTTTTATAATGGGATATATTGACTAAATTTTGTGGTTAACTTACCTTATACAGTATATATATATATGTAAAATATATGTATACCAGTATATACAGTATATATGTCTTTTCATGTATACAGTATATTAATTTTTGTACAAATACATAGAGATCTCAGAGTGACAGTTTGAAAATGTGACTGGTTGTTCGATGAAGACTGAGCAGCTCGTGTGGACCTGCTATGTCTTGTTGAAGAGGAGGATGACTTAATGGCTAACTTGTCTCCTTTTGGCTTAGCTAACTATTGGCTTACTACTAACTGCAGCACAAACTAACCATGTTAGCTAGTTTGTACCACAGTCTTGGAAAAAATGCCCAATAAACTTAGTTTAACGCAAGTGGCATGAAGTTTGTTTTCACCAACTCGCCTGAACATGTGTAATGCGCAGTTAGCAAGGTTCGATGAAACAGCATTGGATCACTTCACCAACACTGTAGATGTTAAGATTGTAGAGATTTGAAGAATGTACAGTACAGTAGTTTTAGTCATTTCATTTCGGGTACACTGGACCTTGTAGAGACAATTGTAGCAACCACAGTTCAACTGATTTTATTGGGCTTTTGTACCATCTATCCTTCTCTTGATGCTCTGTGCTCTCTATGTGCTTCTTGTCTTGTTTGTTTGCCAGCTGCCTTGTTCGTCCATGCTGTGTCGAGCCTCGCTCATGCTGCTGGGTTACATGTACCAGTCTTCAGTCAAATTTTGTCAGTATCTTTGAAAGAATATCCAAACTTTTTTCCTGAGAGAATTGCATCTTTTGGATTTCCTTCTGTATAAAGTATATAAACACTTGATACTGATCCTGGGCATCATGATAGAATATAATATTGTACTGTATAAGATTCTCTAGAAATTAGCCAAATTTTAATAATATATCTTGACAAAATTTGACTGTAGTCTACTAACCATTGATTGGAAGGGATGTAAAAGTTCATTTAACATAGAAATTTGAAAGAAAAGGGACTCAAAATAGTACAAAGATTGCTACTCCAGATTCATGCAGTTGATACCACTCTATCAGAACACATTACTGTTTACTGTTTGTGAAGAATTCATCAGTGGAACAATTGTCAAAAACTCATAAATTTTGTTAAGTTGCCATCTAAATTACATAGAAAAGTAATATAATGAAAAGGTGCAGTAGACAAAATATATAGAAGTTTTAAGTAAAATTGATGCTCTTGAGAACAGCAAACAATTTATACAAGTTCCTGATGATAAGTTTATAAGAAAAAAAATTATTTGTATACAACATTTGAGGACCTGTGAAGTATTCTATATGAAAGTAGGACTGTGTCAAGAATGTGGAATGTTATGCTGGTTCTTCAGGGTGTAAGAGAGATGTGAAGTTTAGTGAATAGTGATGTGGGATATAAATGGGAAGTGAGCTGGATGTTGTTTCCAGATGCTTGGAAGATAAGTTATAAATGTTACTGAATGAGTTTGGAAAGAATGATAATAAATGGGAACTAAAAGTGATGAAAATAAGTTTAGAAATAGGGAAATAAATGCTAGCTTAGAGATTCAATGGGAGTGGAAGTGTAAACATATGGAATAAGTGATGAATTTAACCATAGCATCGTGAAAGAAATGAAGGTTTAGAGATGGATTGAGTCATGTATGAAGAGAGAGAACTGTCGAAGAAGATAAAGATTAGGGTGTACTGTACAGGGGAATTATTGACCTGATGTTATTCTTTGGTGTTAGGTATGGATTCTGAATGCCAAAGAAAGGGACGGGAATTATGCACACGAAAGCCTTGTGAGGAATAAATAAGATGCAGAAATTAAAATAATGATGTATGGAAGTGAAGAAAGCTTTGGGTTGGCTCTCATGATAGTGTTGATGTATTGAGAGGTGGCTGGGAGGAGGGAGAGAAGATGTGAGGGCTAAAGGGGTGAAGAGGTGAGGACTAAAGGGGCGAAGAGGTGAGGACAAGGGAGTGAACAGGTGAAGACTAAGGGGGTGAAGAGGTGAGGACTAAGGGGATGATGGAAGAATAGGGTGAAGGACATACTGAAAATAAGGAGGATAAACATGATACAGCAGTGAACAAGCATGAGCAGTGAATATAGCATTGATTAAATTTTTGAGGGAAGACAATCTGGTGATGATACCAGCTCATGTGAAGACACTGGCTTAAACTACAGTACATTTGGGTCCTTGTAGAACAGGAACACCACAGTATGACACATTTTTGCTGTAGTAAGGATGAATGAATAACAATAAAGGAATAGAGAGAGAGTGTGTGTGTGTGTGTGTGTGTGTGTCCACCCTACATGAAACAGGAAAAGGTTTGAAAGAGTATTACTCATTCCAAACTTTTCTGACTTAATGCTTAATGACAAAAGAACAACATATAATACTCACATATTTTACCCTTCATTTATTGTCATACATACTTTTTGAAAGCAATGTTTGTTAAGATGGTACAGTATACCCTTCCACAACAAGAGACTAAATCTGGTATATCCCTTGTCTTGCCACATGAGGCAGCTTCACCATAATAAGTGGTATAAGTGAAATTATATGATTTTATTGACATTTGATTCACCATCTGAATAGTTCAAATTTGCAAAAAAATATAAAATAAAAAAATAAAAAAAATGGCATGATATACAAAGACAATGAATATACGTACATAAATTTTATAATTGCTATTTGGATTTTGAAATTACTGTGTATAAAACTACACATTATGGCAGTGAATAAAGAGCAAGTCCTCACACATATACTGTACAGAAATTAAGAAAATAAAGCTTGATATTGACAAAAATTTTCTTGTACAGTATATGGATTGGAATATAATTATCTGTCTACATCCAAACACCATTGATTAGCAGTGCAAGAATGTGTTTGCCTGAAAGTTGTGAGAATAGTACTGCACTGTACACTATGCCTATAGAGCCGGCCACCTCACACAAGAGGAAGTGGCATAACTAGATGTTAGCTGAATTAAATAAATGTACCAGAATATTATGGTTCATATTGTGGCAGTATTGAATTTAGAATTGGTTTGTTTTTGTACATTACACTTGTACATATAGGAGGAATTCATTGTGTACACTTATTTACAAATACTACTGTAGTCTTATAGTATAATGCCAGTGATGACAAAATCTTGGGCCAGAGTAAAAAAATATATAATATTTACCTTGTTAAGTACAATCATAGTCTTTCAAAGTACAATTACATAGTTTTGAGTTAATTACGTTCATTGATAAAATGTGCGCCAAATACAGATGTGAACCGACAAGGCAGACAAAGAGTTACCATAGTCATATATTAAATACAGTATAGTACAGGTCACTTAGACTGAAGAGGAGCAGAAGACAGGAAATTAGAGAGAAACTCAAGGTGTAACTTTACTAAATTTATAAAGAGCTAGACTTACCATTAGCTTAGGCTGTGTGTGGTACAGGAGTGTTTCATATTATTGAGGAGGCTTCTTGGTAACAAATAATAAAGTAGGGTGTGTAGTGTAGGTCTTGGTTGGGAAGGAGTTAACTTCATATCCTGTGTTTGGCTTTTTAATATTTTAATTAATTGATTTTCAAAATTTTCTTCTGTCAAGTATTTCGCATCACCCAGGTTGCATCTACTCTTTGAACCATTATTGATTCAGTATATATATTTATGCTTCAAATATTATTGTATGTCGACAGCAAAACAGATCAACTTTTGTACCACAAGCATTCAACATTTTTTTCACATCTAGAAATTTTCCCTCCACTGTTTTATTCTTTTTATTTCAGTTTGTTTATTTTACATTGTTAGTTATCACCTTTGGTTCATTTAGTGCTGCTTAGGATTTGATGAGCATGATGAAATTATATGAGGAAAATGCATCCGTCAACTGGATATGTGTGGCATCTGTCGGTAAGGTAATTCCATGATTATACTTAGATGCTTACAATAAAAGTAGAAGCTCCATTCCCACACCTAAAATATAAACAAACTTGGGTAAAAAAGAATCCATTAACACAAAATGTATTTTATCCTGTAATCACCAGAGTGATTTACTGTGATGAAGTATACAGTATAATGAACCAAATTCCAAACCCACTGATAACTTTAAATTTTGCCGGAAGTAAGTGGAAAATGAGGATGTTATCGTATAAAGATTTAGCTTTGTAAAAGTATTGGAAGTTTGAAGAGTGTGCAGAAGTAGAAAAAGAACATTATGAATAGAATAATTAAGGATAAATGAACTGAGAGCTCTAAGATTTGTGTTAGCTGTTCGGTGATCAGTGAGTACATAGAAGATAGGAGAATAATGAAGACCTACTTGAAAGACTTGGGAAACAACCCGATGAAATATCCAGGTAAGAAAGGGAGAACACCTGTATGTATGTCAGGAATTGGCTTGAAGGGATGATAGAATCCAAATGTTATACAAAACAAAACTTGATAAATAAATATAACACAAAACCTGAAGTGAGATACTAGAGAAAAGAGTAAGGGATGTAGATCACCTGTACTGTACTGTTGTATTTAAAACTGTGACATGGACAGTACAGTGTTAAGTGAATTAAGAGGAAACAACACATCATATGAAGGTTATACATGACAAATATTGCAGTGATAATAGACAATAACTTTGGGGATATTTGGATGGATAATTTGGGGGTAAAAAAATGTAGAGAAGATGAATAGAAAGATAATGAATGTTTAATCAAGAACCATAAAATATCAGAATATGTGACAGTATGAGGTGATTGGTCTGTTTTTATGAAAGTGTCCAACTAATGTCATCCTAGAACTATTTTTTTATTAAAGAATGGGATTGTAATGGAAAAGTTGCTCAATCCAGCTATGGCTCTGAAAATGGGGGTTTTAAAATCAATCGCTCAGTTTTATAGAAAAGTAAATTTGTGTAATTTCAGGAAAAAATTATCAAAATAGTGAAACAGTAAGAAAATTGTCTCAAATATCAAATTTCTCTGATGTACAGCTTCCAAAATATGACATTCAGTTAGGGCAGTGTTTGGGAAGGTGTATAGTGGTTAGGGTGTAAGAATGCAATGGTCAAAATAAGTAGGAACCCTCCAGCACTTGATGATACAGTACAGCATAATTATACCTGTTCCTTTTCATATTGATTTTTGGCAGTCTTCAGTGCTGTATATAAATTAATAGCTTCCTGAATACCTTTTAAGATATTTATTGAATTTATAATAGGAAGCATAATGCAGGTAACAGACATTGAATCAATCATAAATTTTTTTTTTTTACTCGAAAGAAAAATGACATTGTATGAGCAACCACGTTTAATAAGTCTGCCACCGTCAGCTTCTCATTATTTTATGTCGTATGTCATACCCTTCCACTAATCAACTCATTCACTCACTAGTATCACACATATATTCCTAAACTCTACATTCAAAATCTGGCTCTACTGATAGGTTGTAAAAAACACAATAAACATATACAGATTAACACCTCGGCATAAGAACAAAACGTTTGGAGTTAAATTTCAAAATAAAGAAGGATGCAAATGGAACATATCTGGTTGATTGGGGTGAATGAAACCTAAAGATAATTGTGGTATATGGTTCTGAAATATGGCAGAATATACCAGTAATGCAAGTGTCAAGTTGGGGTTGTATGCTTGGAAAATAAACTACAGTATGAGAGTTGAAAATTTTACATACATCACCTTATTGATTCGTGGATGATAAAGATGTCACACACTCCAAAAAGTATCTTTATGATTTTGTGTTAGACATTATAACACAAAGGACGAAGGATTTTGACAACCCTACCGAGACAACAGGAGTCGCGGTGTTTGTTTTGAAATTCATTGGACCCTCCGTAAAGATAATTTTTGGAGTGTATGTGCATCGGAATGGTGGAATAAACGATTTAGTTTTTAGTGCGATCTATTTTTCTTTCTATAAAACTTTAATAATAATAATAATGTAGAGTTAGATATACTGTATATGGTAAGTGAAGAATTAGGAGAGGTTCTGGAATGAAAGGAAGAAACAGTATGTATGTGTGTGTGTGTGTGTGTAGATGAGTGAAATTTTGCCATGTATGTTAATAAGTAGGAATAGATAAACTTCCTAAACGTGGCAGAACTATACAAATAATATATCAGTAAGTATTATTAGATAACAACGGTAGAAAACAATTGTGTGACCTTGGTAAGTATGTTCAACCAGTGGCACCAGTCGGTTTATTACAGGCCCAGCCAATTCCAACCGACCTGGTGGCTAAACTGCTGGGAAATCGAGTCGCTGTGTCTCCAATTGTAACGGTGGAACCACGAAGACGCAAATTCCACAAGCCCATCACCCTCACCATCCCTGTGCCTCAAGCCTCCAGCAAGGGGATGATCAACCAGTACTCCGGCGAGGCTCCCACTCTACGTCTCCTCTGCTCCATCACCGGTGAGTGTGACGTTGGTTGTAGTTCTCCTGTCGCTCTTTGGTGTGTAGTCGTGAAAATTTTCAGTCTGTCTGTGTTTTTTTATTTTATTTTAGGGGATTGGTGACAGATGGGATCTAACGCTCTTAATAGTTTTTGTTTTATTATTTATTATTTGTCTGGGAATGCCTGTCTCTTATGTCACTAATTTTCTAAGGTTAATTTCTCTTAACTGTTCTCCCAGGCCTCTCCTGTGTTCTTAACTGTAAGAAGTGTGTGACTATTTTTTTAATGCCTTTGTCTTACTTCCTGTAGAATGATAATAGTTATTGTGATAAGACTTTTCAGTATTTTGATTCAAGTAGAGAAAGTTTATAATCAAGAAAGTACAATAGTTGTTCTTTAGAAAGTACTGTACTGTATAGGATTAAAGATCTTTGATATAGTACAGACTCTAGAGATATGTTTTAGAGGTTACATTATTGTCATCTCTCTTACATGGCAGTCGTAAGTTGGCTGCATCCGAGGCATTAACAAAAGTCACAGTTTGCCATTGTAATTCCAAAATTTCAGCACGAGCAACCTTATACCTAAGCTCACTGGTGATAAGAATCCACCTCTTTATGAATATTTGAGATAACAACAAAACCTTGATTGTAGGTTAAAATGTTTTTGGGATTATGAGTATAGGGTACAAGGTTGTTTGTGTTAGAATTTAAGAATCACATATTCCTGCATATTTTTTCATGAAAGAGGAAAATGATATGTTGACTGAATGAACAAGACCAACCATTTGGATATTATTATTGCTTTACAATATATGTGCATCTGGCAGTAGAACCCTGATGATTAGTTAGACACTTTCCTGATCATGGCCGTACTGCTTCTCTGTGTCGAGGTATAAGGAATTACATGTACAGTAAATTGATTGCTTATGTAAATTAATATTATGCATTACTAAAACAAGTAAAGACAAATTATTTACTATGGTAATCTCTCTCTTTTTCTGTTGAGGGTAATGTGTAATCTTCTTGTCAGAAAATAAACATCGTTAGTACGATAACTAACAAATGTGTCTTTGTCCCTTGAGGTGTATCAGATTTGTATGTGTATTTATGTTTCCTTGACATTTAAAGAACATTTTGAATTATCTTTTTCCTATCTCGATCTTGGAGTAATTTATTCTCATTGTTATGTTGAAAGTAATCAATCTGGGTTCTATTGTTCAGTGGAATACAGATATGAGTGTAATGTATTCATTTTTGAGCAGGCTTCTTATACAATGACCAAATGGTATATGTAGATGCTCTTATTCTCTGGATTTTTGATGAAGTATATTTAGTTTTGTGGCCGTCAGTTTATTAAAAATGTGAAGTACTTTAGTTCTCAACGACGTTCTAAAAAATAAGAAGGTGTTTTTGGACTTAAAACTGTTGCTACTAAAAGTAATTGAATTGTAAAATTACTTACAAAATTTGTCTTGGCGTGAATGCATTGCCCATGAATCAGAAACTTGAAAAATCTCTCTCCTTCAATATTTTTCTAAACTATCTCTTATAAAGTGTTTGTGTATGGTATAATATGTCAGATGAAGCTGGCTAGCTTCTCAATATCAGTTTTTAATGTTGCGCACTTATCTATCCCCCAACTCTCCCTCTCGTAGGTGGTTGTGTGTCACACATTGTAGGTTAGTTTCATTTCACAAACTCCTAATTTTTCCATATCCTAAGTTGTCTAAAACTTTAGTACCTTATCTTGGACTAATTATTTGTCACAGTAATATCTTGCTTTATATGTACATAATCCAATATCCTCTGTGCAGATACATATAACTGACAAAAGCTGTAGGAACAAAGGGTTCTTTAATATACTCTGTTTTTCTATGATATTACACTCACTGTCTCTTTATCTCACTCAGATGACTTTTGTCTAGTAATCTAAAGTACTGTAGTGTTGTGTTATGGCTTTCTACTGACTCTTTTCCACAGTGCATTTCTTTTATTGCTTTGAATTTCCTTTGAAAAAAGTTGTTCCTGACAGTCAGCATGGGAACATAATGTCTTAACGTGCTACTGATGAAGTGAACGTCACAATAGCCCAGTAGGCGTACAGTGTATCATGCAAACCTATTTCACTGGCAACCCAAAATAGAATAAATGTTAGAATGTTTAACACACTCCTAAAAAGGAATCACACGATGACTGGCAAGGTAAGGGTGAGGCAGTCACCTTATCACAACTTGCTCATTGGAATCATTACACTATATTCAGGAGCTTTTAGTATGCTACAATCACAGGAATTCTTTTGAAAAAATATTATTTGATCTGAAGAGTTAAAGCCTGTAGTGAAGCCCAAAACACACTAATATCGTAGATCTATAGATTAAAACAAACTATATCGATGGTTTTATAGAAATACTTCATGCACCACAGCTCACAAAAAAGCTTGTCAAATTGGTAATTTTGTGAGAGAAGGGGCTTGTGTTTGTGTTGTATGTGAGATTCCTGTACTGTATGTTGGTGAGGAATGTGTATGGTCTGCCTGGGAGACCCCCCACCACCTCAGTGACAACACGGAAAGACCAACTCTGCTCTCCCACTGTTTGTTCTGCTTGGACGCTTCAACTTGTCAGTTTTGTTGAGGCAGTTTTATTGTTTTCGTCTCTGTACTGCAATGTTTTCCCCTTCATTCTTTCTGACTTGTACAACATGATGTGCGAGACTGACCGTGACAAAGCTGACACTGGCTGAGCGCAGCTGGTTGGGGGTGGCCAGCTCTTCCCAGTACATCTAGGGCTGGCAAGGCTTGATGTCAACAATCCTCTCAGGGAAACATACCTCAGCAAGTAGTTACAATTATAGCATCGTTTTCTTAAGTATTGTATCTTGCCGGAAGCCTATAAAAAATCCAAATATTTGATTCTCATACAGAAAGTGTTTTGAAGCTGTTAATGCCCTAATTTTTGGTCTAGTGGCAGATATAAGGCAATGCCTTACCTGTTTGACTTTTCATATTGGTAGATAAAGGGTTAGAGCAGTATTCATAAGATGTGTTTGAGCCAAGAGATGCGATTGGAATTTAGTAATACCAACAAAAGCACCTGATATATATTTTGGTGTTGCCTATCCTGCCTATACTGTATACAATTGAACACTGTCATTATTTGCTTGTTAAAAAGACTTGTAAGTATTCAGTGGTAAAAGTAACCTGCAAATGCTGTATTTGGCAAGATGGTGAAGTAGAGTTTGCAAAATTTAAGGAAATGAAGCAGGAGTTGGTATTATTATTTTGCTTATGTATCTGTTAACCCAAGTGCACTCTATGAATAGGGCCTGAGGTATATGTACAGATGTACCATTGGGGTTCTGAACTCTCACTGTAGTTGGTTGAAGTCCCCATGTTTTTTTTCTAGGGGTTCATGAATACCAGAAGCAGTGTAGTGTTGATTTAGCAATTTATTACAATAGATTAGTGCTTGTGGAAGTTTGAGCCATGTATCTTTCTCAGTCCATGTAGAGAGAAATTAATAGAGGATCCACAGTTTCTGCATCTATTAATTTAAATTAATGTTCACATACTTCATGTAACAAGTCATTTTCAATATTAAACCTTGATCGTACCTGAACCCGTTGACCCAAAATCTCCCCAGCACTGTATGGTAGAAAGTAACATCAGTTATTCAGTTTTAGGCTTGTCCCTTAACAGTGTGTCGAAAAATTTCATATAATTATTTTCTATACCTGATATTCCCTTGCCTGTTAATCAGAATTTAACTTAAGATATTTAACTAAACATTAATTGGAATCGTTTCCCCAAACCTTTCTCACATACTAACCAAGAAACACTTTTACTCTTGTTATGCTGCACATGTGGGCCTCTACTGTAGGGGTGTTTCGGAAAAGATCTTTGAAAGGTAAAAATTCAGCTCCAAAAGAAAAGGATTGGGCATCTGGGTGGAATCTTTAAGTTGTCTTTTTAATGCTGATACTCTTTTGTTTTTTCTGCCATAACGCCCCTAACTGTGGTCTCTGTAACCCTCTTGAGTACTGTAAATATGGTCATTTTCATACCATTCTATTTACCCTCCACGGAAAAATGATGACTCACTCAATATTATTTTACAACTGCCCGTCTTAAAGCTGATATTGTGCTTATGAAAATTTCCATACATTACAGATTGCACTCAAGTTTAATGTTGTGCCTTGCAGTTTTAAGCAATGTAAAGAGAAAAAGAGTGGAATGCCCCCAAATCACTTGCTACTATATTATCTACTGCTAGAGCCACTTTCTCCTATCACTCCTACTGAAACTCTTCCCTTCACTAAAACTACTTCACATCTTTTTCTACAACTACCACTTTAACTGCTATTACTACTGTACTTCTCATAAAATTTCAAGCTTCTCCAGACATCTTTTTAACTCATGTGATTCCCTCATGATGTGGGACTTTGTTACGAAAGGCCTTGAATTTTTTGGTGGATGCCCAACAGGCTCCGGTCTTTTCTGAAGCAGTGAATGATAGTTTTGTTAAATTGGATGTTGCCTTTCTCCTTTTGATACCCCTTGCCTCTTTTTTGCTTGTGGCCACTTATTTTTTGCTTGTTTTCAACACAAGCTACAAGTAATAGAATTTATGGGAGTTGGTGCACAGTTGAATATGTGTGTGTCTTTGTTTGAGTAGAGAGAGCCATCCCTCGTCACCTGACCTGTTTTGTTCCCACCCTCTTTTATGAATACTGTACATTTTTCAATCTTTTAACTGTTGTCTATTTTTGAAGATTATTTTTTTAATGTATGCTTGAAAAAAGCATCCTTAACATATCCCTCACATGAAATTAAGTACACGATATACTTTGTCTTACAGAAACGGGATTTTACTCCTGCTAACTTTTCATTTATAACTCTCAGCTACTGTACTGAATACTGTACTATACAACTTTAATATGAATTGCATCTTTTTTGTTTGGGGGATATTGTACTTCACATGACTATGGAACACAATACTTGAATCTGTAACGTAAGGTAGTGATGTCTTACAAGGTCAGCTGATGAAGTTGCTTACTATATTTTAGCCTCGGAACCGTAAGGAAGGAGTCAGGATGACGTACATTTTTGTAAAGTGCTGCCTGCATAGTAGTGCATGGTGTGTTGCTTTAGTCAGATCCCACAAGCACCTGGTGCACATTATTAAATACGTACAGTTACCTGGTACATACGACTAGCCACGAACAGTCACTTGGCGCACACTACTTGCCATGTTCGTTCACTAATGCACATAAGTACTATTAATAGACTATCAGGTTTGTAACTGCACTAGTTGATCTATGGGCTCAAGATCACTCCTTTGAGGATTTTGAAGTAAATATAAGATTAAAGAATGATGAGAGAAGCTGGAGTAAAGCTGTTATTATTGTGCTATAAAGTGTTAAACTGATCCTTGTGAGTGACTTGAGACCCATACTACTACTATTGATTGGCTTATGGCCAGTTCTCTGGGAGATATACAGAAAGTATGCTTGGATAAAAAAAATGGCTGTTCCTAAGATAAACTTTCTAGTCTTATTCATGAAAAACATGTTGTTGGTGGCTGTATGTTATGAGAAGTCATCCAACAACTGTGAATGATAATCAGCAACAGAGTTGAGTCTCTCCGTGTTGTTCACTTTTAGCTTGCTGAGTTAGCAAGAGTTTCTTTTCACATTATGATCAGGGCTTCATATCAGGGTTTAAAATTATCATATTACTGTTGCACTTCATTCAAAAGTTTATAAGAATTGTAGTGATAATTATATTAAGACAGTAAAAAACATATTATTTGTTTCTACATTATATTATGCTTTGTTTTGGCTCACTAGACAACCAATGAAGTGTGACATTACCTTGATTTTTTGACCAATGGGCAGCCCAATGTATATGGAAATGTTTATGCAGACAAGAATACACAATACAGTTTCGCAAACCAAGTTTAACTGACAAAATGAAAGTAACTGAAATTTCTTTGAGGCCTCTGTTTTCATGTTCAGTTATCCTGGTGTTCAGTGATTAAGGTGGAATATTTAATCAAGGTTATAATTAACTTCTTTGTACTTAAAAAAAAATAAGCTAAAGGTGTTTGTTTAGAGGATCTGTGCAGGTAAAACAGAGGCCTGCCATACCCATTCTTCCCTCTCCCTGTTCTTGTGTAATTTTCTCCACAAGTCCTGCATGACACAAGGTTACATTGAGTTGCCACTGATCCACTCTTCTGGAATAACAACGAGTTAAGACCTTGTCGTCATTACTTAGAATTGTGATTTGACTCTTTTTAATGTCAATCATGGATTCAGAGAGGCCAAATTCAGATGCTTCTCATTCTGGCTGTCTGTTGATTATTTTTATCACTTATACCACTTTATAAAGAGTGCATACACTGTGTGCATGTCTTCCCATAGTATCCTAATTACTTTAATTAGTAAATTATTCCACTTCAATCTGATGACCTGCTTCTTGGGCTGTAAACAATATGAAATTCTTACTTCCTAAGTAGGTTTTGAGGCAAAAACATTTATACCTATCTGGCATTCTACTCTGAAATTACTTATATGCACAGTTAAAGGAAGCATAAGTTTTATTATTTGTAGTTAGGCTTTTTGATGTTATCCTTGTCATATAAATTATATTTTTGTCATATATTCCAAACTATTCATTACACAGTGGATAACATATTTGGCTATTGTATTGAGGCCAAACCTGCATGGTTGACAAAACTACTGTACTGTATGTAACAAATATTGAGCAAATTTTTTATAGATTTATAGTATAGTAGTCACATCTGAGACAAGATTTACCTCCTGTACCACAGTACCACACATCAGATTCTACATCTTGTACCATATAGTTAAACCATCACCTAGAACAGTACAGTACAGTACAGTACAGTACAGTACAGTACAGTACAGTACAGTATATGGAAGGTTGTAGGGTTCTTTATGGTGCTGATGGCACTAATTTACCTGTAGTATGTTTATGTTGATACAAACTCATAGTTTTGTCAAACATGGAGGTCTGACTTTTTTTCTTTGGCTCGTGGGAAAGGGATGCAATATGCTGCAGTATAATTCTTATTGAAATTTAATGAAGAAGTACTTTTACTAAAGTTTAGTGTAAAAGTCCCAAGTTATATGCATTATATATTTGATATAAAAGATCAAAATATTTCTCTCAAGGGAAAGTTAATGTTGACTGTTTAACAGTAATAACTTATTTGCTTTTGACAGCAGTTCTGTGTACAGTGGTCCCTCAGGTAACGAACACAATTCGTTCCAGAAGGTCGTTCGTTAACCGAAAATTTAGTTAACCGAAACCATTGTTTCAATGGGATTTTGGGTAATTGGTTCCAGCTCACCGAAAATTACATACAAACTAAAAATAAATGCAGTAAAGTACACTTACTTTGAGGTGTGCATGTAGAAGGCTCCTGGTTGATGATGATTATGGGAATTAGAAGTGAGGATAGAAGAGAAGGGAGAAGAGAAGGCATTGGGGTGGAAGAGAAGACACCCCATGCTTCATATTGCCATTTCACCCATAAAATTTTAGTTCACTTGTTGTAATTAAAGATTATTTTCTTCAAATCAACACTGCACTGCATTATATATTGTCAATATGTAAATTAAACTTCAGAATGACACACACTGGCTCCATTTTGGGTGAGTCAAGTGGCCGTTTGGCGCGCTAAAACTAGTTCCCTGTACTTCAATTATGTTAAATAATTGTTAAAATTACTAAAAAATTTAATATAAGACTTGGAAAATTATTGAATAGTACAACCTTCTTGATATTTACTCAAATGGAAACGAATTTTAGCCCTAGAACCAATTACTGTATTGGCGGACTAATACTACAGCTGGTGAGCAGCCGAAAGCAGGTGAAAACATGTTGGGAAAAATTCGTAAGGAATTCATTAACCGAAATTTTTTCGTTAACCTAAGTGAAGATTCTTATGGAAGGTAATTCGTTAACTGAAATTTCATTAACCGAGGCGTTCATAAACCGAGGGACCACTGTACTGAAATTATTCTTTGAAATTTGATTTATATATTTTACTTACTTTTTTTTTAACTATTTAACCACTACAGTATAATTATTACCAGCAGTTAAAGTCAAGTGTAGAGTGCAGGAAGCAATATTCCTCCCTTTTTCCAAAGTATTCTCTAATCATTTTGTTTCTCTTCATCTCCTTAAAGTGTCTTGTATCTATTTCTGGTCAGTTTTACTGAGTTGAGTGCCATACCTTCAAGATACACACAAGTCAAGTGTTACTTGCATGTATACTATCACAGTTTACTCAGAGCTCTTCTGATGTCACTATCTTGCCCCAGTATTTCTAGCTAATATGTGGATGCCTTTTGTAGGGGATAAAAGTATGTCCATGTATTTAATGAAATTTTAAATAAGCACAAGAGTGATACTAGAACCTGGTGTGAGTATAATGGATGGTAGTATTGCATCTTGGTTACATCTTTTGGCTTTAGTGACCATCTTGAGTAATGGACCTAAACTCAGTTCTTTTTATGTAAGAATGACTAACCTAGATGGCATGACTCCCACATCCACTTATGGTTCATGTTAGTGCAATGCCTGTAAAACTATTTTATTTGTAGAAGTTAATTTTCATTTTTTTTCCTAGCTTCTTTCAGTCTTTTAAATGATAGTGGTTGTGGTGTTCAGTTTTTAAAGTTGATAAGAACACCTTATGTGCTTATTTATATGGACAATATTAATAGATAATGTGTTTTTCAATAGAAGTCAGTAAAAAGCCAAGGATGCTCTTGTGTTTTGAATTTAGATATATTTTCATGTCATAGACATATTATTTCAAAAGTGATTCAATGTCCTGCTTTGATTTTTTTGTAATGAAAACTTATTGTTCTAGTAGAAAAAGAAGAGCATTTTAAATGGCTTTTGCAGTATGCAACTAAATGAAATGTTGATCTTTAGATATCAGGGTTTTTTAAATCACACTATATTGTGTAGGAGAAACCAAGTTATGTTCACAGTGACTGACTCCAGATATTTCCAGGAGGCACAACCCGTGCTCAGTGGGAGGACGTGACAGGCTCCACACCACTCACATTTGTCAACGACTGTGTCAGCTTTACCACTACAGTTTCTGCCCGATTTTGGTTAATGGATTGTAGCAATATACCGGAAGCAACTAAAATGGCTACAGAGCTTTATCGGGAGGCTATTCATGTACCTTTCATGGCTAAGTTTGTTGTATTTAGCAAGAGACATCAACTTGAAGAAGCAAGAGTGAGAGTGTTCTGTATGACCGACGATCGAGAAGATAAGACGCTTGAGCATCAGGAACTCTTTGTTGAAGTGAGTTATCAAGGAGTCATGTTGTTTGTTCTCTGTAACGGAACCTGACGATGAATTGTAAACATTGAAATTCATGTAAAAATTTTAATGTTGTGAAATATGTCAAAATAACATAGAAGCATACTGTACTCTTTTTAGGTTTTGTAATAAATAAATAATGATGGTATTTTTTTCTGATGTAATATTATGTAATATGTTCTTTTTTCTAAAAATTGTTTGATACATGAAATTAAAAATGGTTCAGGTTGCAAAATCTCGGGATGTTGAGGTGTTGGAAGGTAAACCACAGTTCCTAGAATTCGCTGGCAACTTGGTTCCAGTCACAAAGTCTGGGGACCAGCTTGCCTTTAACTTCTATGCGTTCCGTGAAAACCGACTTCCATTCACTGTTCGTGTGAAAGATCAACATGCTGACCCCATTGGCAGAGTGGCCTTCATGCGACAACCGAAGGTAAGGATCGGAAACATAAAGGTTGGAAGTTACCTAACGTGATCTAACTAAATACATCCTGTTATGAGAATTTACATTTTTTAATGGATAAGACATAATAATTATAATGTGCTGCTGTTGTTGAAATATACCATATATAAAAGCTTCATATATATGTTGTTCAATTAATAAAATGTTGCATTAGCTAGTTTATTTCAGAATTGAAGTTGTGTAACTCCTACGTCAATCTGAGTGAGTAGTTGAATAATATATGCTGTATGGCCATTCAATGGTACTCCATCTTGCCAATAACACCTCCCTGCCCTCTAATCTTCCAGGATGGGCGTTGGAAGAAGGGTTCGCTAATTAGCCTGCTAAAACCCCCTGTGTTTCAGGTTGGGCGCGGTGACCCCCCTCAGACCCCCATCTGTAACCTCAACATTGCCCTGCCTGACAACATCCAGCCCGAGCCTGCGCCCTCAGAACCTGACCTCCTCGCCCTGGAGAAGAAGTACTCCTTCCTCTCCATTAGTGAGTAGCTGTTGTCTTGTCTGGATGTCCTACTGTACCTACCAACCTCTCCCTCCATCTTACCTTATATTGATACAGTTTTATCACTTTTTGAACCTATTTTTCCTCATTTTTGATGGATAGATTTTTTTTTATCAAGTAGATATAAACACTAATTGTTTATCAGTGCATTAGATGATTTATCATGCATAATATTCTCGTAAAGATTTTGATTTGAGAATAATTTTTTTACCTTGATATCTCTGTACCTCTCTTATCCTCCATCCAGACCTGTTAACCGTCCATAATCCCTTGTTTTTTACTGACCTCAGGATCAATTGCTCTTTGTCACGTGGTAGTTGTTGTTCGTTTCAACTCTTTCAAAATAAGTTGTGTTTAATGGATTGTTCAGGATATTGGGATGTATTCAGATGTGCATAATAATGTAATGCACTTTAGGAGACATTTTGGGTAGGCATTTTATTTTGTCTAGCCATTGTCACTTGTGCATATTGGCTCACCTTCACTACACTACAAAGTTTCCAAATAATTAGTTATATTCCAAATTTTACCTTAGAGTACAGTACAGTGTTACTTCAGACTACATCCCTCCCTTCAGGTTTTTGTTTTAATTATTTGATCTCCCCGTTCACTGCCATGTCATTGTTACACGTGAAAAGGATAAACTGAAAATGTTGTAAAAAAAAAAAAAAATGGTTTGTAATGTCCCCCTTTCTGTGTCTTGTCTGTATTTAACTTGATCATCACTAATAGCCTGACTGCTTTTCCTTAACATGGGGATCACTGGCCCAAACCTTTTAAATGATCATTGTAGTAAATTTGGACAGCGGGAAGATAGCCAAGCCACGTCTTCTCCATGAGTGAGTATTGGTAGAGTGTGACGTCGTGACAAACAAATTCTGTGGGCTACCGGGTATGCTTACACCATTTATAAGTTGCAATATAACTGTGTTCTTAACATGTCTTGGTTGTATGATACAACACATATATTGGTTGCTTATCACTTTTAACCCCCCCCCCCAAAAAAAAATATATATATATACATATATATATTTTTTAATTTGGTCAATAATATCCAAGATTCTTCATACCGGGTATATTTTGTTTGCTTGATTTTCTGTTTGATAAAATTTCAGAAAAATCTTTTTCTATATGTATTGTACACATGATTATAGTGAAAGAACCAAGAGGAAAAATGGACATGGAAGTTCAGAATGAAAGAAGTGTAGATGATGTAAAAGAGAGAATATGAAAGAAGTATAGATTATATAAAAATGTTCCTCATTTTTATATCATCTATACTTCTTTGAACAAGTGCAAAAGATAATGAGAGAGAGAGAGAGAGAGAGAGAGAGTTACCCTGTTTAAAATATAGAGGATTGAAGAGTGTTCCAAATAAAACAAAAAGTTTTAAGTGCAGAGATGGAGACGACTTTAGCTGCACATGAACTAAAATAATAAGGCACAAGGAGTTGGTAGAAATGCTATTGATAGGATAAAGATGAGGTGAAAAAATAATAGTGATTTAGAAAGAACTTGTAATTGTTACTGAATGAGTTCTGGATAGAGTACACGAGGATGATTGTATTAGTGAATGTGAAAAAAAAATAATCGTAATAGAGAAGAAAAACGGGAGAAATGAACGTTTTTCTGGGAGTGGATGTTAGCAGATGGAATAGTGGATGATAAACAGCAGACTAGAGGAGGAAAAGGAAGTAATATATTAAAAGAATGATAGAAAAATGATCAATGAGAGTGCATAAATTAGAACTGGATGGTGAGAGAGAGAGAGAAGAAAATGGAAGTATGAGATGGGGACATGCACCCAGGAAACATCATTGTGGTTGGATGAATAGAGAACTTACCATTGAGTGATACAGTATTTTGAGAAGGGAATGATGGTACTACATACAAAGTGACAACGGTAAACTAGATAGACACTTAGATTCATGTTGTCAGTTGGAAATACCACATAACAGTAAATATCTATCACACAGCAGTAAGAATAAATGAACGAGGGTAAACGAAGGAAGAATATGTGTTTGTACTGTATTTGCACTTGATTCTGGCTACCGTGTCGTATAGCGGGAAGTCGCTTGAAAGAATAGGGGTGAATATATGATTTGATTTCGTTTGTGTGTGTGTGTGTTTTTTTTATGTCCTTTGTGTTTTTAGTGCAATAATTATGTCATTAATTGTGTCGGTAATACCATTGTCAGAGAATAAAACAATATCAAAGTGGCAGTGTATGCTTATGACGTACCAGAAGCCCTGACCTCGGGATACAGTGCCATTTAATTCTGTTTCAATATACTGTACTATAGTATTTTTCTCTTACTTATAGCAGTTGAAAAGGTTGTTATATTTCATGGTATAAAGTATGTAGTTTTTTGGTTTGTGTTGGCAGTTGGATGGGTTGTATACACTTTGACTAACCTTATTTGATTATGTGAGAAGGGGGTTGAATTATTGAGCATTATGGTTGTGTATAAATCATTACATATTTTGGAGTATTGTATTTACATTTATATTTCCATCAGGTAAAGCCGACACCATTCACAAGGCAGATCTTCGTCTCACTGACATCTCAAATATGTTGGGAACTGACTGGGTGGCTCTTGCCCATGAGCTGGAAATTAATGATTCTGATATCAACATCATCAAATCACAGTACCCAGACAATGCTCCCCAGCAAGCCATTGTTATGCTCAGGCTTTGGATGCAAACATCAGGAAATAAGGTATGAAATATCCTGTCAGATGCTGTTTGTCAGTCTTGTTAAGAAATACAGAGAGCAAAGTTTTCAGGTGATTGGGTATACAGTATTGTTATGATAATATTCATCGTTATTTGCTATCCATCTGTTGTCATCGTTTCTACCGCTATAGACAAGTTTTCATTCACAAATATTTACTCGTGACTTAGTGCCAGTTATCTAATTTTCCCATTTTAGTTGTAACTAATGATATTTTTGAAGACTTTACTGTTTTGTGGAAGCTGAGTAAATGTTGATATATAGGTACTGTACACACATTTGTTATTCCAGTATAATTTGCACTGAATTCTTGATAAAATAAAACTTTTTTTTCTGACCACAGGCAAATGGAAATACACTCGAAAAGGGATTGCGTAAGATTAGTCGCGATGACATCGTGAATCAGTGTATATTCAACGTAGAGCTGGTCACAGATGACATAGAGAGAGCAATGGCCAAGGCTCATCTAGACCAGTCTGGTTTTGAAGCCTTCAAGGATGAACTTGGGCCATCTCGAGATGCAACACTCAACCGAGATGTGTCTTTGGATGTCTCTTATGATGAGCAAGACATGATGAAGGTAAGTTGAGTCACTTTGTTGCAAGAAAAGTCGAGTCACTTTGTTGCAAGAAGGTTATTAAATCCCTCTTAACCCCTTCACTACGGGGACGCCACTTTTAATATTTCATTTGGTTAACACCAGTTGATTTTATTCAGCTCAGAGGCGACACCGTACATAAGGGTTAAATAGTTATCATTACAGTCTATTGATCTCATTGTTATGTCTTGTATATATGTTGTTAGGTCATAGTGTTGGTTGGTGTTCTGTAGTGTACCCAGTCCGGTCCAGTGTGTCCTAGAGCATATTATATAACACAGATACTGTACTCCAACATTTCATTAACCCCTTCACTATGGGATGCCACTTTTAATATTTCATTTGTGTAACACCAGATGATTTTATTCAACAAGGGGTTAATAATCTTTACTTTGCAAGTGATTCATGATAAAATGCTTGAATACTTATTATAACTATATTTGGCCACTAATACTAAGCAGTGGTAGAAACTTTTATGAATAAATAATAATTAAATTTATTCCTAAGTCATGAAACTTGAGGGAAACATAAGCTTGGCCTCAATCTGTCCACCGTCTTTGTAACAATGTTGCCTTACTGTCGTTGCTCTTGCATGCTTGCTTATTGCAGCGCCTTAAGGATCTGCGGGTGAGTGCAAAGCCAAATTGTGTGAAGATAAGATCTTTATCTTGATTAATTTACCTTAACTTCTTAAACTATGAAAAACTGTCTAGTGATGAAAATTTTGTATAGCTGGCTGTTAAGTTATTTTCATGAACTGTTGTTTTTATTTCATGTTTACTTTGTTATTAATAAAGTTTTGAAGCACTGGTAATTAATGACACTTATATTTAAATTACAGTAGGTTCTTCTGCTACATGTTACTCAGATACTAAAGAAGAGGTTCCTACTCTGTTCACTTGTAGAGGGCATTGTTCTGTAGAATATTTCCTAGAACTTAAATTTAATGGAAAAGCTACTTCATATATTATTCTCATTAACATAAATATCTCATTGCTTGCATACCTAAAGTTCTCAACAATTTCAAGAGTGTTATATACACCTCTCTATCTCTCTGCACCTTTGTTGCATATTTACTTGCTGCACTCACAGGTTAATAGATCCTTGTATGATATTTTGTTAAGTTTAGGATAGTGTCTGGTGTATGTCTCTCATGTGTTTGATTCCCACTAATATTCTTACCTATTTTTCTTTTGGTTAATTGTATTTAATTGTTTGTCAATAGTGTTAATTGTTATTATTTTCTGTTCAACCTTCCTTGTGTAAAGTGTTGTTGCATGTCTCTGTCACTTGAAAGTTGTGATATTTGTTACCGTTTTTTGTGAATGATTAATATAGAATTTATTTCAGACGTATATAATGATATCTCAAGTTTCCACCTATTACACTTGATATTTTATAATTTTATATTGGTTATATTAGTTAGAGCCACATCTTGACGGACAGGGAGAAGCTTCGGTGATTCTGAAGGATTTTTTTTTTTTTTATTCAAGCGGCAAATGTGATGTGATAATTAGTAAGACAGTATTTTGCATCATCTGATAGTGAAGCTTTATAGACAGTGTAGGAATGAATCAGTGTCTTAGAATGAGGTTTAGGAACACTTATCTGGGTCCCTCAGAGGTCTACATCAGCATTATACTATTGATAGATGTATATAAGATGGTTGACTCCTTTACTGTCAGTGACTGTTCAGATGGCTCCAGTAGTAAGGGAATTTGGTCTCTATCTGCTCTGAGTTTTTACTTTACCTTGAAGGAGTTGGACAATCACCAACTCCCAGTTTTTGTTACCTGTACACCGGAGAGTTCTGCAGGAGTAGACATAAGGGGGGGATTAGAATATCGACCTTTAGATGTGTCATATTACTCAACATAATGTACTTGTCTTAGTTGTGTCAGTGCTGTTGTCGTACCATATAATTCAGTTCTTGCTTCTTAATCTTTCACCATTAAGACCATATCATAATTTTTTTTTTCTTTACGATTCCGATTTTCTTACAGCTTTCTTGAATGTTTTGATATTTTCCTCGTCTGTATTTTCCAGTGATCTATGTGGCAGTAATTTTCCTACATCATTGTCTTATCCATAGGAGGCCGAGAGTGCTGAGGAGGAGGAAGAAAACCAGAGAGCGTATCAGGGTAACTATGACAATTTGATTTAGTTAATTATTTTGGGAATATTCTTCCTTTTTATAATTTTTTATTTTATTTATTTTTTGTAATTGTAGTGTTGCTATAGCTTTTTCAATTATTTTATATACCGGTAGTTGGAATATGAAGACACACAGTTCTAAATGTAGTGTGTGTGTGTTATATATATATATATATATATATATATATATATATATATATATATATATACACACACACACACTTATATATACTTACATACACCCATACAGACTTACACACATTCAGATATACAGGTACACATCCATACAGACTTACATACAGACACAAATACAGACTTAACATAGACACACAGATGGACACACAAAATACAAACTTACTCATACACTCACATATTATACACACACACACACATACACACACACACACACACACACACATACATACATACACACATACATATAAATGTGTGTTTATTTGTTCATTAATTAGACCACACCAAACCAGACTTTGTCCCCCTCACTTCAGTAGACTTGGTCATGAGCAGTGGATTGTGTTGATTATTTTCCTCATTGTAGTAATACTTCTCTCATTGTAGTTCCCTTTAGTCAGCAAAAATTATTATGAGTGGTTTTATTCAGCCTGCATTGCTTCCTTGGTATGTAATTTAGGAAAGGTCCTAACTGAAGTGGGTCTTTTAAAAATCATTGCCTACTTTTTGATGTGTTTTTCTTGTTTCTGAAAAATTGGTTTTGTTTCTCTCTCTCAAAAAAAAAAATAAAATAAAAATCTGTTCGTTTAATTCCAAACTAAAATCTTACTTTTTATGTATTTTTATAAAGTAATTTTATCTTTTTTTAATATTGTATCATGAGTGAAGTTATGACACCTCCTAGACTGCTACCTTTTGAACCCGAACCCCAGGAGGAGCTTGGGATTTATAAAACCCCAGATAATCACACTTTGATTTTGTATTTATCAGCACTGCAGCTGGGGTTCCAAATCATTAGTTATTATTATTATTTTTTTTAAATCTTTACTTCTACTTCAACCTGGTACTGTAATTGATTGTCATTTATAATCCCTCACATGATATTATATAAGCCTCAATAACCGTGTGCACAGTAGTACATTTATCGAACATACAGAACAACAGGTCATTCCACACCATCCATAAACTCTCTAGTATTATCACCTCAGTACTGTGATATGGATCAGTGTATAAAAAAAATATAGTATCTCTTCTGTGTACCGACTGACTGATGATAACTCCGATAGAACCACCGTAATCTGTGTAGTTGTGCACTTGTAAACCACTCGATGTTTAGAGAGTAAATTTAATGTAAAGAAAGTAATGGAAATTGTTGTAATAATTCGAGATTTTCTATTTTCTCTTTTCAATGTTGTGTCCTGAGAAGCTAGACATGTGTAGTTCAACTCATTAATCTCAACACAATCTGGTCCTCTGCTCGTAGGTTGTTTTAAGTTATTGTTGAGGTGTATAAAGTCTGATATGGTTATTGCATTATGCACTTGGTAGTTATTATGATGGACAAGTATATGTACATGTATATACACATATATACATATATATATACTGTATACATAATATATATATTTATTATAGGTGTAAATGTGGTTGACGAGATTTGACTTCTTTTTACTTTTGGACTTTGGTTTACTAATATATTGTATTTATTTACTTGTTTATTTCTGAGTGTTTGTGTGTTGCTGAATGTTTTTTTTTCTTGTGTGTAGTGAAATTGGAATGTATCTTAGCAAAGCCTCATAGGGTTATTATTGTATCCATCCTCATAAATGTAAATACCCTGTAGTCTTATGTTAGTGAGCTGTGAGATAAAGGTCGGGAGAAAAATATATTAGCAGGAGTGTGTGTGTGTGTGTGTGTGAACAACAGATCAGCCTGTATGTACTCGGTAGCACATACAGTCATTCTTTGTTGTGAGAACCTGTGGGTGACTAAGCTGCTTAGTAATTGTCAAGTGTATATTTAAATCAGTTTATATTGTACATGTTTCTTATAAGATATTTTTGTGTTTAGAATACAAAAGATTATAAAACTGTATTATGGATACTGTAAAAAAAATTCTTAGGAAAATTTTGATTTATGAATTGTAATTATATTTTTTGAGACTGTCACTCAGTGAATTTAGATATTATAAAAAAAACTGTATAAATATTTGTAGTAGTTCACTCTTCATAGGACTAATAATAAGGATCTTAGATTAAATAAGCCCTAGGTATCATAAATTTGTTTAATGGCAAAGTTAAACTTAAATACATATATTCCTTCTATTTAAAAAAAAATCAAAATATATAATTCATACTTTAGATTAATAATGATATTCCACAAAATGTTTTCTGTAAATTCATCAAGATATTTATACTGGTCCTGCCAACCTTCAGACAAGAGCAGTCGAGAGCAGCGCACAGTCGACATGTCTCCAACATACGAGAGTGAGGAGAAGAAATATGCCGGTGAAGAGAAGATTGTCACCGAGGAGAAGGTGACCAGAGAGGATGTCAAAGATGGGTCTACTATTACCATAAGTACTACATCAACAACTGTTATAAAGCAACCCAGTGAAGACATCAAATTAGAAAAAGAAGTTGAAGAGCCTGTCCTAGAGCCCAAGGTTGAGGCCATTATTAAAGAGCAAATAATTCCTGAACCCATTAAGGAGACCAAGGTAGAGCCATCCTTAGCTGAATCTGTGGTGTCAGAGCCCATTCAAGAGACCATTATTACAACAGAGGAAGTTATTTCACATGTAGAGCCACAGAAGAAGATGGTGTTCACTGTGACAGAAGCCGAGGAGGAGGAGATCGAGAAGGATGAACAAGTGGTGGAGCAGAAAGAACTAGAGAAGCCAGTTGTGAAAGTTGTAGAAAAACCAGCAGAGGTTATAGAGAAGATCGAAGAAGTGAAAATGGAACCAGAAACCTTTGAAGAAATTCATGCCCCAGAAGTGGAAGAAACACAGAAGACACAGAAAACAACGACTGTGACAGAGATTATCAGTGGGCCAGCAGAAGCTCCTACTACAGTTACTACCACACAGAAAGAGACCTATACCACATCAGATGATGGAACTATCCAAGAACATATTGTGGTTCAGAAGCAAACCACTAAAGCTGTTGATGGATTGGAGATGGGAGAAGACAAGTCAGTCATCCTTCAAAAACTTGGAGAGGAGCTAGGCAGACTGGATGAGAAGTTAGAAGAGAAATTCAGGGAGAAGAGAAAAACAGATGAACCAGAAGGTAAATGTTAGTATGCACGTCACATAGGCTACGGATTATGAGAGTTGGACTTCATTCTAGATTATAGTTTGTGGGGTTAGCACGCTTAAGCCTCGACCGTGTGTGAGGAACGCTCCCGTCTTGCCTGCTGTAAATTGTCTATGAGTGTCACCTTACCTTGCCCAAAAGAAAAATTGTAAGTAGATTTATGGTTCTAAGGGCATCCCGAATCCCTGAAGTTTTTTGCTCAACTTGTTTAATTAAAGTAACTTAGGTTAAGTAATTATCTCATCATCAGCGATACCCTTAAAGATATTGATTGCCTTCATGTTCTTAACCCCTTTGCTTTGAATTTACTTCAGTTTGCCCATGACACAATTGTCAAACCATTATGAATACTGTAACTCTAATACAAAGTAAGTACAGCTTCCTTTCATTACCAAACATTTAATGTATATTAAGTTGTCAGCTCCTTAATGGAATTCAATTTTGAGGCTGAGGGGTTAGGTGTGATACGAATTTGGGATTTGGGATAATTAGTTTGTATGTGCACTGTATGATAAACTATTTTATTATAATTGTGGTGGTGAGCCTTCTTTAATTTACTTCAATGTCTTCATGTTGAAAAAGTATCACATAATCACACAATGAGTACTGAAGCCTTAGAAACAAAGATAAATTCTAGATGCTCCGCAGACACATGCATGAAGGTAAATATAAGACATTCATATAGATTCTTCCATTCATATAGACTTTTCCCCTCTCTAAGGCATGTGTGAGTTACACTGCTCCCATAGTATTTATTGCCTGAAATAAACATTACATTTTTCTTTTAGGTTTTGTAGTTGCTACAGGGATTTTCGACTAGAGAGAACACTGCCACATATTAGGAAGTTTAGTAAAAATTGGTGTTTGTATAATTATATCTCATAGGTTTTCTCCTTGTTAGCATGACAGGGTTACACAAGCACCTTAGACGACACATCAGGATTTTGAGATACATTTCCAAAGAATCCTGTAAAGAAATAACCCTCATACACACATTGTTCCTTCCTCGTTTCTCTGTCTGACCTTCACTTTCCTCTCTGACTTAACGTCTTTGCAGGTTTCTATCTCGTATGTATTTCCTTTAGGCTATATTGATATGATTAAGCTGATGCTATGTTTTTGTGCATGAATTAATTTTGGAAGAATTGTTGGACCTTTTAAACTTTTTAGGATGTATAAACTCATAATTTCTGATATAGTTATAGATATAGTATTTTCACATTTAGTTAGTGATATGAAGTAATGTGTCATCCCTTTAAACTGAGATATATAGATTGAATATTATTGGAAGAAGCTCACAGATACATACAGTATATATGTTTGTCTTTTTAATATGCTTACTTGGGAGATAAAAAGCTTTATGCAATGTGGGTTAATGTTGTACTATGTTGAGTGATTTGCTGGCTCACTATGGCACTGTTGCACTGATCATAGTGGCACAAGAAGAGGTGAAAGAGGAAGTAGTGGCGGCTATCCGTCGTGAGGGCCAAGCCCAACCTACCTCACAGATAGTAGTGGAATATGGCACGCTGCCTTCCACCCTCTCTGTCACCACCACCACCACCACCACAACAACTTCCAGCATCACCCCCACCCCAGGTAGAATAATTTACATCACTAGAGAGATATATTCTTGCTCTCAGGTATATTTTGAGGATTGAAACTGCAAAGTATTTATGATATTTTACTTCCATTTTGATTTCGGAATTCTCAGTTCCCGGTACACTAAATACCCTGACATTATGTTCCCTTTTGTGTAAAATTACTGTAGTAGTATATTATTTAGATGCTGATCCTTCAACTGTTGCTACATATTATTTTAATTCCGTACCTCCATCCTGTCCACTTCCAACTTTGCAGAATAATAGTCCTCAATGAATACTGATGGGAAGCAAGAAATAATTTTTTTGGTCATATGTGTGGTGTGCAGCTTTGGAACTCACAAAGGCTTTCATGTCACTTCACAAGTTTTCATAGCACCAGTGACTGCTTGAGGATGCATTACAAAGTCTCGCTGTCAGTTAGAATTCTTCTTGGTTGTAGAAATGGTCTGACATTGCTTCAACTCTGGTTAAGGGATTTGCTCGATCTAATTCTTTCAGTAAATTTTATCCTTTTAGATGAAAAAAATATTGCTAATTACCTCACTTTCTATCGGGGTAAATTGAGTTTTACCAAGAGAGATGGAGCTGAATGTAAAGACAGATAAATGAAAGTGGGTTAAATTTATGAAGGAGTGACAAGACCTTGAAATTTGCTTGAAAAAAGTATAGATAAGCTATTCAGAGCTTAAGTATATGTAGACATGTAGATAAAGATAAGAAAAAAGCTAATTTTTAGAGATTGTGTATTTTTTGTACGTAGACGAACGAGGAGTATAAACGGTAGAGTATTAGCCAGCGGCGTAAGAGTTTGTCTGAGGTGGATGTGAAAGGGAGATGAAAGGGAAGTCAAGGCAAATAATGTATGACAAGGAGTGACATTTGAACAAGATGGATAAGATAAAAGTGTAGGAATTTTGGTACTTGTAGGTGGCAGTACAAGTGGGTGAATGTTTATGAATTTTAGCACATTGTAAGAAAATTTAGAAATAGTTGTAAGAGGAGGGTGAATGTTAATGCTCACATCGGGAGGTTAATATTTGACAGAAATAAACCAGATTACGAAGTACTCTTGGAAGGTGAGAACTAAGAATGGATACTAGTAAAGTTCACTCTGTGCTGTAGCTACCTCGCTGGTGATGGACTACTTGATATAGGCGGACAGACATTAACATTAAAAGGAGAAATGGAAGTGTTTGATGAAGTTGAATGGACTTGATTCAGAAAAAGCCAGAGTGAAAGAACGGATTGAGACAAAAAGTGGGAGTGTGTTTTGATGGAGAGATCATTAGAAATATATAGACATTCTAGCATATAGAGAAAGCCCTGTATTGTATAAGTCATTCTTCTGTATTCTGTTATATATAAATAAGTAGGATGAGTGATATGGAAGAATGAAATTAGTTAACAAAAGCTAGTACGGTTATTGAGTAGTGTATTGAGTTACTAGTGCCTTTTATCAAAGATGCAGGTACTGTATATATATAGTAATCAGTTTGCCCATCCATCCGTCAACTATTTTATGTTAACATATGTTAGTGAAATTAGCTACACCACTTCTATACCATCACTTAAATATGTACAGTATTGTGTATTAAGCCTTCATGGCCGTATATACAAGGTCGAGATCAAATGTTTTTTAACGAACAATTTTATGTTTGCGTTATTACTTCTGCATCCTGGTGAAATACTGCAATGAAGTTTGGTCTGCTTTCCGATTAATCAAGATCACATTCTTTGGGTGAATAATTTAATTTCTGCTCTGTAATTATGCATCTGGTTAATCTGTGAGATATGGTGTGTCACTAACTAAGGATGTACTGTATTGCATTCGGTTTTTTTATGACTGCATGCTCAAGGCCAGATGCAGCAAGTTATTAATTATGTCTGTTGTAGAAGTGTGCAATCAGTTAATATCTTGCAGTGAAAATTAATAGGCTTTCATAACATCACAGAAGGATATCTTGTGTACAATATTCAAAAACACTTCACTGTTTAAATGCTGTCAAGAAACAGTTTTATTCTTCCCTCCACAACTCTGTAACTGTTGAAGATGCTGCAGTGAAACTCGGTACGTTCTCATAACATCACCTCAGGACATGTCACGCATAAAATTTATGACCATTCTGTATACTCAAGTTACGCGTTTTCCATCGTTTGCACCTCCTGTGGGACTTACATAAAGGTATTACTTCAAGTTTCTATAAAAAAAAGAAAGAAGAACAATAGTGAAAGATTGTAGCTAAAATGTTTTTGAAATAATGATAAAGACAAACCTCTTCCCAATAAGATTATGGTATCTTTATTAGTTAATATATATTTTTCTTAAAATTACCTTAATAATTGTGCAGTACAGTGTTTCTCCTCTAGTCTCTCTCTCTGAAATCTTGAGCAATATTGTGTGTGGTGACATTAATCAAGAAACGCTGAGCAGTTAATGAAGAAAATTAATATTTTTTATTTATATTCCAAGAAAATTATTTAATTCATTTGAATAAAGACTTGTGATATAACTGTAAATAATTGTGCCCGGTCCCTTGCAGTCTTGTGTTAGTTAATATGTTTCATCCAGGTATTTTTTTACTTGTGTAAATCAAATTAAGATTATAATGCTACAACTAGAAGACCAATATGTCCAGAAGAGTTACAATACTTCCCAATAATATCATCGTCCCGTACTAAAGTTCTTAACCCAAGTTGTAGATCATGTGGATGTAGATCTCACTCTGACACCACCCTTCTTTCTCAGTTCACACACCACAGCTGAAATCATCAGTATTTTGCATAATGTTGTTTTTTGGTCATGTTTGTGTTGTATGTGCATGTTTGTAGAGTAGATGTGCATGTGATGAATCCTTTTCAATACCTGGAGTGATTTTTATGCTATATTATATAAAAGAAATGTGTTTAAAGGTTAAATAGTATGTAATAATATTTCAGTTTTACTTCAGAACATTTCAGAGCACTTTTTTTAGTGTACATTTTTAATTATGAAATGAAGATATAGAATATAGTTTATAGGATTGAACTTAGAATATTTGTATAGATTAATTTTTATACTTTGGTTATAATCTCAAACTGCTCTTGAATATGACTACTGTGTTACATTACTTTTTTCTATATTTTTCTCCAATATTTTTGTGTAGCTGTACAGTTTCCTTACATCTATTTGAAACACTTCCTCTTTCCAAGTTAACATGACTCGTGTATGATATTCATGACACACACACACACATGACCCATCCTGCATCTCCTGTGTAAAAAAAAACTCTGGCCGAAGAATTATGTGTTCTGGGTCATTGATCGCATTTGTGAATCATTAACTATGTTTATGTTTTGTCGATAATAGAGATTGGAATGTTATTGAGCACTGTGGTCGCTAATATGTGCTGGGAGTATAGGAAGTAGGCAGGAAGATATAGTGAAGTAAGGCGAGGGTTTTGTCATCTATTCATACGTTAAAAAAGTCCTTCTTATCTATATATATATATATATATATATATATATATATATATATATATATATATATATATATATATATATATATATATATATATATATATATATATATATATATATATATATATATATATATATATATATATATATATATATATATATATATATATATATATATATATATATATATATATATATATATACAGTATATATATATATATATATATATATATTTACTGTATATTATTACACTTGGTTATTCTCATACATTTCAAAGACTAGATTTCACAATGCTCTTGGTTTATGTATTTAATTTAAAGTTATTGAGTTTAAAAATCATCAGAGTACAGATCATTAAAACATCTTGATTACCGACATTGGTAGTTCTTTTCATTCTGCCACAAACCAAGAAGTTTAGGTTTGGTCATAGGTGATGGGCTTGGTTGACTGGCAATTGTTTGGTTTTGGTAAGCTCAAAGCCAATTACTCGTCCTTTTTTTTAAGGCTACAAGCTGCTACACTGGCATCTCATACCATGGACGACTCTATGACACATAATGAATATAACCGGACGCTGCTGCCTGCATTCATTTCTAAAGACACTACTGTGCCTTATTTAAATGCTTCATAAATTTCAGCATTTAGACGTGTATAATAGACTGGTATTCCATACCTTATTGTGGTCTTTCTCATCAGACAGTTGATATATAAATTTCTTATCGATATCCACTATGCCATTTCCCTCACTCAGAAAGCTTCATAGATACTTTAGAAGTTATCAGAGATCCACTGCCAATATCTTAACTAGTAGAGGAACAAATCTTAACTATTGCTTTTATGGTTAAATTTATGAAAATGCCACCAGCATTTTATTATCTAGAACATGAGGTGGATAATCGATTGAAGTTAACATGTATATAGAAGGGACATTAAAAAATAGAATGTTATACTGTACTGTACTTGTAGTAAAACAAGAAGAAAAAAAAGTATAAAATTGGGAAATAAAAACATTGACAGCGTGTGTGTGTGTGTGAGAGAGAGAAACCCAAATGCTGTAGTAGGGCTTCTCTTTGACTATGAACGTATGAAATCCCCCATCAGCTCGAGGAAGAAGGCTGGCCAGGCAAAGACACGATTTCCATATGATGAATTCTTTTGCCTCGGTCCCAAGTTTTAGCTAAAGGTTTTAATAATGAGTTTTTCATCGACTCCGTTTTTTTAGTTGAAGGAAGACACGTTGGTATTATATTAATGTCATAACGTTATCTGGGGCAAGAGGATGACACTGTGGCTCGGGGAAGCCCTACGCCTCTGTAATTGGATTATAGACTGAGGAAGTGGCCCCAATCCCTTAATAGAATTACTTTTCTTTGGCCAAAATGTTTTCCGTTGCTGTTTGTATGATGTTTTAATTTCGCTCCTGTACATTTAGATCAATGTTACTCATGCTGTGGCCCTTAGTTATAGAAATTAAAATAATAAAACAAGCAAGATTTTGGAGAGTTGGGTTAGGTAGGTTACTTTGTGTTGATGAAACTTAATCATTTGTCATAAAAGGAAGTAAAAGAACATAATTCTCAATACACTATACTGAAGTTGGTTAAGAGTCTACTAATTCAGATAAACTGCATTTTATATTTAATTGGTATTTTCCTCGGTGGCAAAACATAATTTTTCACGCACTCTTTCCCCACCCTTACCGGGTTAAGCTGTCAGTGTATATGAATTCTACTGATGAGAAATTGATATGCTTGAGTTTGGTTTGTGGCAGGAACATTGAGCTATGATGTCACTAATGAAGGGGTGGGAGAGGGAGGGACTGAGGGAAGGTTGAAGATCTACACCATCACCTATTAACTGCCTAAACTGTGCACGTTTCTCCCATAATCAAAGTGGTGTGGAGGACAGGACTCCTAACCTGTTATGCTTTGCATATCCTCACGATTAACAGCAAATCTTAAAAGGCTTTTGCTTATTTCATGCATCCTGTTAAAAGAATATCCTTAAATTGTTGTCATATGCAGCTATACGTTGGCTTTCAAAGATAATTGGTTGAAGTTGCTTGAAGAAACCTTAATGACTTCAGTCTCTACACATTAAGTCTTCACTTTATCAGACTAACTTGAGCTGAAACTTAGTCATTATCTTTTAATTTTCAGTAAAGTCACACATATTTTACTCCTTGGTAATATGTAGAATTTTACAACATACAATACTCCCAGCAGGCAACACAGTTAACCTTAAGAGATTCGAGATGAATAATGAATAATAAATCAATCATCATCATCCTTATCGTTTTATGGCCATTTTTCCACACTTGTGTGGGTTAGCAGTGATTACCCGATGGCAGCTCTCCAAGGTGCGTGGTCTCTGGCAGCTTCTCTGGTCAGTTTCTTATCTCTGAGGCCTAATGTTACAACCTCTTTCCATACCATTTTTGCCATACACCTACCAGTAGCTCTTCTCCCCTCCGCATTCATATTTATGTCCCTCTTGACTGCCCAAGTTTCTCTACCATATAACAAAAAGCTTTTCCTGCCACCTGCAAACATCTTTAATTTAGAGCAAAGAGAAGGTCCTCTTGTGTTAGTAATTAGTAAAGGCAGCAACTCCCTAAACTTCTTACAGCTACTTTGACACTTGTATAACTAAGCTAGTTTCAGCACCACCTTCAGCACTGATCATGTGACCCAAGTAGCAGAATTCATCCAGGGATATGTCCTCCAGGTTGATATTTTTCATCCTTACTTAATGTCAGCTATTACACCACTACACCTCTTGTGTATACACCTTACACCTTTCACATTCCCTGCACATTATTGAATTCCTGCCAACACCTTTGTAACAGACAGCAAGTGGCCAATTTTCACTTACCACCCCTCTTCATTACTGTTGCTTTTGCAAATTTTGCTCTCATATCCCTTGACATCCTAATGTATTTTTCATGTATTTTTCTGGCCATTAGTATTGCCTCTATAACTTGGCATGAACTCAAACTGCATTTCAGTAATGTCTACTCTCTCCCTTATTAATTTCTCAATCATTCTTTCACAACCTGATCTAACAGCTTCAGGCCCCTGTAGGTTGAACGTTCAAGTGCATCACCTTTACCCTTGTAAGTATTCATGATCACATTCTGTAGGCAGCCAGCTGGAAAAAACATCCCATCATAATTGCCTTAGTCAATTTAGTCAGCATTGTGTCGCTTGGAGAGCTTCCATCTGATCATCACAGCTCTCTCTCTCTCTCTCTCTCGTGTGCCTGTTCATAATTTGGTGTCGCATAACACAGACAGATATGCTACTCTCCTGTTTCTTAACATTCAGCTGGTGGTGGTTCACTCCACCTCCTTGGTAGGATGCCAGTCTACCAGAGGATTGTCCCACCATCAGCAAGTGCACCTCACATTTACTGTCTAGTGCACAGGGGTTTTATATAGTGTAAAAGGAGGGAATTCGCTCCTCTGCTTCTGTCAGGAATTGAACCCCATGGTCACCCGCTTGTGAGTTAAGCTCCCAGCCAACACATACACAGGTGTACAGCACTAATTTACTTTTTCTTAAACCTTTTACTACCTTCAATTTTATTTCCATCTTTAGTGAGCTACCATCACTCTTAACAATTTCATTTTATTTTGATTAACTCCATTTTTCTTTAAGTTTATTTGCTTAAAAACATTCTTAATTTTTTATCCAAGTTCATTGGTTTTGTTATATTTTAAATCTACAACTCTCCCTCACACCATGGCTATGTAATACACCAACAGATGGGTTCACTCAGACGTCTGTTGAATCCAGTCAGATGTCCTCTAAACGGGGCACTGCTGAAGTGAGCTACCCGGGCACCACCACCACCATTGATGATGACGCTGTGATGCAGATGGGGCAAGGTATGTAGCTGTGAACAGTTGACTATGGTATAAAGAAGATCCCAGTCTCAGTGGATGAAGAGAGAGAAAAGAGAATCCAGATTGATTACATATTACTGTTTGATCACAAAGTAATCTGAAGATGTGGTTTCTCTTGTAAGGTTATACTGTTGTTTCTTGTTAATGAGAAATATTTGTATAGTTGCTTCAGCTCGGGCATATTCACCGTCATATAAAACTTCATCTTCTCTTCTTCTGCATAAGAGTCATGGGCTGTAATAGTTAGTTATATTCTTGGAGCTAAAATAAGTGGGGATTTATGATTTTAGCGTTATAGTATTTTATAAGTGAGAGAAATACAGAACTTTTTTAATTTCGCTCATTAGTTTCTATGTCATTTAGAACAATTGTTACATGTACTGTACTTCACTCAGGATATTGTCTTGTGTTTAGAATGAACAAATGAATAGGATTATCATGATTTAATTATAATATAATTTTTCAATTTAATACTTTATTTATTATTATTGTTGTGTGTGTGTATATATATATATATATATATATATATATATATATATATATATATATATATATATATATATATATATATATATATATATATATATATATATATATATATATATATATATATATATATATATATATATATATATATATATATATATATATATATATATATATATATATATTAATCATTATTTCTCTAAAATGCTTTGATTTCTTTATGTACTTTAGTTCCTCCGTGTATGTAATCTTCCTTAATTTGTGTTCAAGTTTGTTTTTGCTTTGTTTTCTGTTTTGCTTATTTTACCCCAGTCAACGTTGTGGATAAAAATGTGTTCAAGGAAATTCAAGCTTTTGAAGAGGAAGGTTGCACAAAGACAGTAGATATACATCAGTAAATAACATCAATGAACTAGTGAAACACAAACTGTAATGGCAGATCATTTATGGGGACCCGGGGATCATGAATTACATTTATCTTCAGTGCTGTAGTTGGTGCTTCTATGGTGTAGCTGTGAGAGCATGACATTTACACATTGGTTTTATCCGGAATGCATGAGAGAGTTGTACTCCTTGGCACACAGGGGAACAGGGACACTCCAGAGTGCCGACCCAGTGTTGTAAAACTCTTGGAGTATATTGTTATTAAGAGATTCAATAATTAAGTTATTATAACTTTTGAAAATGGGGGTTGAACAATATAGTTGAAGTTTATTGGTAAAACAAAGCGTGATAGAATTTTGTGTCTAATCTTTGTCGACTTTCTGATTTTGAAAACTGTTAGTTACTGTAGGAATAGTTTTGTTGGCAATAATTAAGGTAGTAACATTATTAACTAGAGACATATTATTTTGAAAGAGAATGTTTAGAATTTACAGTATTTTGATATCCCTCCCCCCTGTCCTGTGACTCGGGAAGCTATAGGTCTCTTCCATCAGTTCGTCTGTGGTCAAGTAACAGTGTGCATCCATCTGGTCTGTCTGTCTATTCATCGTTTTAAAGTTTTTTGTGTAGGTGGGGTAAATACATTCCTTTGAAGAAAATCTTTTAACATCAGTTTCAAATAATTCTCAGAAATAGAAATCCACAGAGAGTCTTCGTCTGACCAAAGTTCACCTCCCTGTAAAGGCATAAAGAAGACCTTCACATAATAGACTATTATGCATTAACATGGCTTCTGAACTGTCACGTGTAAATGTTAAATGGGTGCCAGTATCTTTAAACATTCTCAAAGGAAATAGAATATTAACATTTACATGAAACCTTTTGAATTTAACTCAAATGTTCATGTCAGTTAAGTTTTTTGCTGACCTCCAACATTTCCCTTTTAAAAAGAACAGTGAAAACTTTTAATTAGTTGTATTCAGGGTGTTCCTAATGCCTCACTTTTGTACGAATATAATAGTACCCAGTATTTGAGTACAGTGCAGTACTTAAGCATTTACCAAAATCTGGGTAACATATTAACCTACATTACATGTAGTACAATTATTATGAAATGTTTCAAGTAATTTGAGGCCTATGTTTTAACAACATTGCCAGCCCAGTTGTGCTGCCACACATCACAGGATCATATGTCAATTACTGCCTGACACGAGCATGCAGCATGTCACTTGGGTGACCTTTCCTGTTTCCTGAAAAGGCTGTTGAGCTCGCTCTTTTGCACAAGCCTGACTCAAGAGTGTGTGTGTGTGTGTTTTTTTTTTTGTGTGGAGTGGGAATATATTCATATAAATAAGATATACTGTACATATGTACTGTATATCATGTAAAAAAAAAAGACTGACACTTTGCTTTCATATGGATTTGCGGAGAACCAGGCATCAAAGATAATACCCAAGGTAGGAATTTTGTGAAGACCTGGACTCAATCAGCATATATATACAGGGGGTATAAAGAAAAAATAATCGGCTGAAATGTTTGGAAACACAATTGTGTTTTCAGTATTGTACTCGTGAATGTATAACTCAAAACTCATTACTGCGCACATCGACTAGTATGAAATTTTACTTGAAAGAGCGGAAAAGTACGGAAGAACGATGAATAAATTGCAGTTAATACAATAGATAAATGTAATAAGGAATGTGTCATGCAAAGAACTTGAGGCAATATATGCTTCCACAATGAACCCACACCACTGCTGCTTTGTGTACTCTCTGTTAAACCCTATTGGGTGGGTCACTGCACATACACTTGCTCAAAGCTTCTGCCACAGTTCATGTATCCTGCAAGTCTTTCTATGTAGTTTAACTTTCAACGCATTTCTTAGAACCAAGGCACTTTTGATTAGGTACTGTCCTTCATTTTTTTTTTTACACATGTTAGAGTTGTATGACTATAAACACCCTAACATTATAAATCACTATCTGCATATCTCCATCTCTGCTGAGTGAAATGATCCCGTAGTGAATCAGTTAATGGAATATTTGGGTTGTAAAAATGTATAAGTTTTTAATATACAGAATAAGAAAATGAACAAAAATCAATGGGGTGTAAAAGTGTAAGATGACATAATAATGATGAGGAGAGAAAAGGGGCTTGAAGGGACATCTGCTTAGGACAGATGAGAGGGTAAAGTGAGGTTAATTGTAGAAGGGAAACAGGAAGGCCAGACCAGTTGGAAGGATGGGGGGTAAAAGACACATTAGATGTCCAGAAAGCAGCAGTATGGGTGAATGAACAGTGTGTGGCTTCAAGTGGCAGGGGTAAAGCAGAGAGATATTCATGGCCTGGTAATGGAATGGGTTTCTTATTGTGGAAAATGTATATCACAGCACAGCTGTAAGAATGAGTTGTTGACAAATAATGAACAGAGTTTGTTTGTGTTTGCTTTTGGTACTGACCAGCCTGTATGATAGCAGGAAAGTGTTTGTAAAGGATAATTAGCTCATATGTTAGAAACGTTTGTTGCGATTTTAAAGCTTCCATATTTGACATCAAACCTGTATAACCATTTGTTACGTGACGTTATTTTTGTAAGGTGTAGAGAGAGAGTAGTGACGTGAATGCCTCGGGGAGAGTGAGTGATGCACTGTTCGAGTGTAGTGATGACCTACATGTACCAGCGGTAATCCCTTATGGATACAAAGCTCTGAGAAGGGGAGCGAGTGGCGGAAGGGCTTCATCAGTAGCGAGGTTGACGGAGCAGCAGTAAGAGCACCGATGGCTGTATAGCGCCAGATATCATTGGGTTATGATAGTCATTTACTGCTGTCTCTACCACCTTTTCATTTTGAGAAAGTGTTGAAATGTTCGAGTATTCATTTGCGGTGTGACACGAAGGACAGAAGATTTTATGCAGCCAATGAGAACAGTGGCTTTACCATCGCTGAATCTCTCCCCTAATCTGTCTTCATTGTAGGTAAAGTACAATTGAGATCCCATATTAGTCTGATAATATATAAATGCCACATAATATTTCCTAATTTATATATACCTGTATGTATATATTATTATTGACTCAGGAATACTGGACTATGTGTAGTATATATTTTGTGCAATTTAGTCTCTGTTCTTATTGATAATCATAAAGATATATTTTATTATATTAACATCTTCAGTCAAATTGCTGATATGTTTAAACAACGAATTAAAAAACAAGTGGAAATATTCAAGTTTTGCTCACACGTATTATCAGCTCTGAAAAAATGCAATACCTGAAGTACTTCAGAAAATTAGTTTAAACAAGTTCTAAATCATGTTTTAAGCTGCAAAGAAGATATTATTTATAAATATAGTTAGCAAGAGTTTCATTCTTTATGTTATAATCTCTAATCTTTGTTTATTCAATAAAAGGAGATTTTACTGTCTCTAAATGTAGGTTTTAATGAGGGAAAATGTTGGCTGATTTTTAGTGTGTGTAGTGTATTTATGTATAAGTGTGTGTGTGTGTGTGTGTGTGGGGCATATACAGTACATGAAAATTACTCCAACACAACACAACAGTGCAATAATCATGATAGACAACTGCCTCGAATCTTAAATTAAGATTCCGGAGAGTAGAAAATTATGTTAAAAAGTGATGATAAATATTTACTCAATCGAGAACATGTCTTTGTGTCGCCTCTCCTTTGAAATTTTGTTTTGTTTGGGTTTTCGTTCCTCAGTGCTGTCCCTTATAACCTGTATGTGTGTTAATATTTCATTATGACACCATTACATATGATCATGCACACACGGTCTTCATTGTTTATACCGACGTCGTTTATTGCCGTTGATACATAATGTGAGAGGTTTGTTCATGATCCGAGTCCTTGATAACCTTAGTACCATAGAGAGAAAAGTGTGTTGTTGTTGATAGTATTTTAGTCTTTACCTGTTGTAGTTATCATACACCAGGTATATGCAGTATACAGGTATATATGGAGCTCAGATAATACCTGACCTGTATTCTCTCTAATATTGATTTTTAGGAAAACTTTCTATTATTACAATCAATCAAAAAGTCTATTTCCTCTAGTAATGCTTCTTTACAGTCTCTACTTTGCCTCCTTTAACACCATATTCTCTCTCCATGTATTTGGCACTGCATCTGTTGTATTAGAAGCCCAACTAATCACGGGATCATGTTCCAAGGTGAACCATAGTTAATAGAATCCACTATGATGTGTGTGTAACTTTGGGGAATTAATAGGTAACGTATAATTCTTAGCCAGTAAGGAAAAATATCCCCTGCTATATTGAATACTTAAAAAGATCATTTCCTTTTCATTTTTGTATTCATTCTCTCCACCTTTTTCTTTATACTGTACAGAGGGAATTATATTATACCTGTTGTCTGCCATACTGCCCTTTACAGTCATCAAGTCATCATCATTTACTACTTTCTATTCATATTTTTGTTTCTGTTTTACGCTGTCTCTTCTGATCTACATTATTCACACTTCTACTGGGTAATAAACACACTATACACAGCTCCTTGTAGTCCAATTTCATAACACTACTCATCTAACAGGTCAGTCTGCTATCTGCCAAAACACACAGTACTGTATACCAACTCTTTCTCTCTTACATAGTTTTACCTCTATATTTTTTGATGAATTTTCTTCTTTTCTCATTCACCGGGGCACATACTGTACAGTAAGCACTCGTGGTAATTTGGATAATTCATCTCTGCATTATCCGGTACCACATTATTCACTCGTTCCATTACGAGACTGACCCACTCATGTAACCCCACATTTCAGCAATTTTAGCCACATTGCCACTGATCTTAGTTACTACCCCTTTTAGACCATCCTTCATTTTGCCTCCTATATGCCCTCAACAAATCTCTAATTCTTCCCATCAAAGCTGTTTTGCTCTTATCGTGACCTCCAGGTACCTATGCCAAAAGAGAGAAGTTTAACCCCTTGCCGACTAGGATTGTAATTTGCTGTTAGTTTGACTGTAATTGTTGAGGAATATGTCCTGTAAGGGTTAAAGGTGCAAATCTAAGGAGGGTGGCGTAGGTTTATGAGAACGAAAAGTATAAACAAGGGGGATGGAGGTTAGGTTAGGTTAGTCAAGATGAAGAGGACACATGAGCATCAGTTAAAAAGTATAAGAGTGACAGAAAAGGGAAATAGGAGGCATGCAAGGATATCAAACCCAAGGAAGAGGAATGGTGGTATAATGTAAAATATATACAAAGGGAAGATGGGAAGAAAGCCGAGTACAGTTTTAGAGAACAGGAAGTTGTATAATATGGAAGTGAATAGGGCAAGAGAACAAGTGGAAATAGGGCATAGGGCAGGAGAACAAGTGGAAATAGGGCATATGGCAAGTGGAAATAGGGCAAGAGAACAAGTGGAAATAGGGCAATAGAACAAGTGGAAATAGGGCAATAGAACAAGTGAAAATAGGGTAAGTTAACATTGATTCAGCATATATATATATAGGCAAGGCAGTGGTAGCATAAATAAAGTAAGACAGCGAAGCAGGTGGGGCCCCTGAGGTATCCGGGAGTAGACATGTCTGTAACCGGAACAATGGGCAATAAATTTAAAATAGGTTAGAGAAAGAGAATAATGGGTGCACTGGCAAATGTAGACGGTGAGAACGTTGCATGAAAAGAGGCAGAAAATAGGGATATGAAAGTGTGAAGGATGGACTCTAGATACAGAAAGAAGGAAGGAAGGAAAGTAAGTAGGTAGAAAGAAAGGAAAGTTAGTAGTTAGAAGTCATAGAAAAGGTGATTTAGAGCAGCATCAGGTGAATAGGATTTATAGAATACAAAAACACAGAGATATAAAGATATGAAAGTTGGTGGATTATCAAACACAGGGTCAATCAGGGTGGTTCATTACCGTATTGAGTTAATGGTTATGGATACGGTACTGTTATGGAGTGTTATCCCACTGGGCTGGTTATTCAATTAGTGTTTTGTTATGATCATAATTGACAAGTTATTGTGGGTAACTAATATCCTGGGTGTTAGTGTCAAAGGTATGGTATTATTTAACCACATTTCAACCACCTCGCTGTAAGAACCCCGGATTTATTACATAGACATTCCTTGGTAGATCAGGCAAATGTACCACGAATATATAGTTTCCATCATCAGGCCACACTGTCATGTATACCTCCTGTACTTCATAACAATAAATATACAAGGTTTAGTTTCGTATGTTACAGAAATATACTTCATTGATTGATTTTTTTTTCACTTGATAATTTATTAAGATGTCATAAAGCCAAAGAAGAATACCAAGACAGCCATTATGGTGTACAGTACGTAGGTTAGTGCGTTTACAATATTATAGGTTCACGCACCGAAAACAGAATTATTTCACATTTAGAAAAGGAATTAAAGCAAAATACAGTACGTATAGTTAAATGAAAATATTAACTAAAAAAAGGCCAGAAATAAAGTTCTTGCCAGTTTCATGAGAATATTGGAGATTATTAATTTTTATGATATTTTGATATTAACGGACATACATCTTTGCTTTATAGTGTTAATGATAGAGGAGATAACATAATCACTGGTAAAACGTGGACAAATACAGTTTTGAAATATTTTGAGTTCCTAGATATCGTAGTGAGTTTTGTATCGATCTAGTTTTTTTTCTTTATACGTTTTATTAGTCGAACTAGTGTAGAAAATTCTGGACTGATATACATTCTCACTCTTCAATCATTCCATCCACTTTGTGTCTACCACTTAATGCTTCTTATATTTCTTTATGTATCTATATTTTTTATGCTTCTAACTAGCATACTATATTAATTTGCATACATTTAAGAATATAGTACTGTACTGTATAAGTATGTACTGTATGTATCATTAACCAATATTCAGGCTTTTCACTTATTTATTTATTTTTTTCCCACAATGCATAGATTTTTATGACCAATGTCTCTTGCTTAGTAATGCCTCTATGTTGTCACAGTTGCTCATCTAGATACATATTTGAGTAGTTTTAATACAGTATATTCTTTTATGAAATTGGGGAATATCTTGCCAAAGACTTCCAGAACACCTTCATCAAAGTGTTACATGATACCAATAAACACTCTTCCTCAAAAGGTCCAAAATCTTGTGAATCATTCTTAAGATAAACTTGTTTTAACTGTAGCATATAGAGAGGAACCTTGGAAAACTGGTTCATGTTTTTGGTAGCAAGTAAAACCAGTTATCCCAGTGTGACCAAGACAAGTTCATGTTCATCTCTTCCATGTTTTATTGGTTTGTCTTGAGCAATAATAGATCCAACTAATTTTTCGTGTAAATTATTTTTGGTAACGTCACGTGTGTGAAGTTTGTCCTCTAAAACTTACTTTATATCTATATAAAGCTTTTGAGTTATTGTTTGTCAAAGTTTTCAGCTTAGTTTTAGTAAGTGAACTGTATACAGTAATTATAGTCAGTGTACGCAACCACAGTATCATACAGATCCTATAGTTTTGTCTGTAACCCTAGCTACTGTATGTAATCTTAGCAAATTTATGTGACAGTAGTCACTGTACATTCCCCTAGTTTGTTTTCTAAGCCATAGCTGGTGGTGAAGCCCCTCAATTTTCTTAAAACAGTATCTTTGCTGTGGGACCATGAGTGTGACCCCTGTGTTGTTATCAGGTCCTCCGTCTGCTGCCCTTATCTTCTGCCCTTGTCTCCCACTATTTATGACATTTCATTACCTTCCCACATCCCTTCATTTCCTTCATCCTCCTGTACCCTACGATCTGCACACCACAACTCACTTGCTCAGATCTCCTCTTAAGACCTGTATTCTTAGCTTCTGCTTGAGGGTTAGTAAAAGTATGAGGTAACTAATTGTTTGGTAATTCCTTCTTCTATGTGTCATCTTCAGTGTGGTTGATGAGAATGTGTCAGACGTGTCAACCCCTTAAAGTAGTAGTACAGTACTGTGTGCAGTAATGTGGCTCACTCTCTTGGACATCATCCTCAGTAACTCTTCATATTTCATGTTACTTTATTTCTCCCACTCATCTTATTCTTCCATTTTCTTAACTTTGTATGCTTATTTTTTTTTTTTTAGTTTGTGCTTGCTGCTTGATATCTTAAAGGTATACCTAGTTTGTGTTAGAATTTTCATTTAAATGTAGTGATGGACAGTGAATCAAACTTTGTGTTTTAGTGAATCTGATTTATTATCGGCATTTGCTTTTTTCCTTTGTTCAGTTACGTTGTGGCTTTGGTATAATGTAGATGAGTGCTAGAATGTATGCATATCTGTAGTACCTTTTGTCACTGAAATTATTAGGGATACTATGAAACTGGCAGTGACAGGCTTATAGAAGGAGGTAAGGTACTTATGTGGTTCACAAGAACGTAAAACACACGTGAAACATATTGACGTAATATAAGACTTAGGGAGTGGTGGTAACTATTTTCATTCCTATAGATTTACTAGCTTGAATACTACTATGGGGCTATGGAAGGAAACTGGGAATTAACTAATACTGTGAGCACTATGCAGTTCACATTAGATGCTCATTGACACATAGTGCACGACTTGGCATGACCAAAAAAAAAAAAAAAGAGGATTGTCAATTACAGTACAGTAACACTGACTTAAAGCAGTGGTAGGCAGGTATCCTATTGGCTTGTACCACAATCACTTATATATCGAATGGCTTACTTCTCATTATTATTATCATCTGTTCCACCGAGTCTTATCGTTATCCTGCTTGACACAGTTTAGTTGGTGGCGTGCTGATGCTACTGTGGGTTGAGTTGTAGAATTTGTGCTTGAGTTACCACTATCACCATCACCACCACACCTGCTCCCCCTATACTACCAACGCTCCTCATCACCACACCCGTGTCCCTGGTGGCAGCGGGAAGGTAGCAGCGAGGAGGACCGGTAGCTCACAGGTGTAGAGGCATTGCTTACACCCAAGACCCCTAGTGTCTGACTTCTTCTTCTGTGGCAGCCTTAATCCAGCAGACGGCGCCCCAGCTTGTGGACAAAAGGATTGTCCAGGAGGACCCGCTTCAGGAGGAGGTATCTCAGCAGTATCAAACCGTCCAAGAACAACCGCTAGACAAGACTGCAGCTGAACCCGATGCGTCAGCTAAGAGTGGACGAACAGAGGAGAGGGGGTGCAGTCCCATTACTGTACTCGAAGCACGGCCTGAGGTGGACCAAGTTACAGTAAGACCACTTTCCAGGGGCAGCTCCCACACCATCACCACCACTACTAGCTGGGGAGCTCCGGTGTCCACGACCACTAATATTCAGCTTGGAGATAATGAATCAGCTCACTGTGTGCAGTTTACCCTGCACTCAGAGAGCCGAGTGACACTGCATGCCCCTGGAGAAATCTGGGATGAATTACGACATGTCAAACAAGGACAAGAGGAGCAACAACGACAACAGCAGCCAGAGCAGCAAGATTCAACCCAAAAGGAATCAAGAGGAGAGGTAGATAATAAAGATGATATTACTACACTGGCTTCAATCACAACAACACCAAAAGAGCAGACTGACAAAGACATTTCTCAAGAAGATACATCTCAGAAGCACTTAAAATCCAGAGATGATGATGAGAAAGTTGAGGAATTACAAGCTCCAGTCTCTGATGCAAGTGGAGGAAGAGACATTACAAGTAGTGTTACTGACAGTCAGGCTGCAGCCGCTTATCATGATATTGTTGGTGTTGTAACATCAGCCGAGTCCATCAGTGAATTCCGTCATAAAACTCCAGATCCATCCAAAACCGTCTCTGATGATGTAATAGAATCAACTAGAGATACATTGCATGATCAGTTTACTAGTAGTAATCAAATTGATTCAGTAAAGGAAAGACTTACCTCAAGTGAATTTAGAGTACAAACAGTAGAAGAAGTAAGTGAGAGAGTATCACAATCACCAGAAACAGCAGAGGTTGTAGAGGCAACAGCCAAAGAAAATGTTAGCAAAGAAGATACTCTTTCCAGTGAGGAGACAATAGATAAAGCCATTATTTCAGTGTTACCTGAAACTGTAGTAGAAGAAATAGCTCAATCTTTAGTTGGAGATATAACAAGCACCGAGTGTGAACACCCAGCAGCTATAAGTGAAGATCCTTTATATGTAGCAAGTGAAATCACAGCACCGTCAGCACACCGTCCAACGACACTCATGATAACTTCGAACTCAAACGAATCAACCGACGATGCAGAATGCACGACAAACGACCCTTCTAAAATTGGAAGGGAAAACGATATCCCTCGGGACCTGAGTCAAGAAGGAAGTAGTATGGTAGCCGTAGAAGAGTCTAAACAGCAAGGGATGGGAACAGAACAATGTTCAGTGATGAGTGAGCGTCTTTCTGGAAGTGAGGGTGGCGCTGTACCTCGTACGGAGCGCCCTGTGCGGCCGGCACCTCGCACCACCACCTTGGTCAAGGTGAAGGTGGAAAAGAGACCTGTTGGCAGTCACCCTCAAGTTCGAGAAAGAATTGCGCATGAACACCAAACGGTGGTCCGTGCTCCCTCTGTTGAGGAGGAGGTGCGTGGACTAATGCAGGAAGTAAAGGAGGCGACCAGTCAAATAAAGCAGGAAGTAAAAGAGTTACGCCAAGCTGACACGCCCACTCCAGACACTCCTACTCCTCTGCGGGAGTTCAAGGAGTTTTTGAATAGAGAAGAGGAACAAGAACAGGAGCGTCTTCCCACAATTAAGGAGATGTGTCGTGAGAGTGAGGAAGATGCCTCCGTCAACACAGGAGGTGAGCACCCTCATGCAAATACATCTTTTCATCTCGAACTGAATGTCCCAATACAAGAGTGTTCCATCCCATTACAAGTTGACCAGCCTGGCGTTGATGGCACTCATCCCGACAGCGGGTACTCTACTTTGGAGGGTCACTCTGCTGTATCTGTTGACCCTTCTCAAGCTACCAAATACACACCCTTCTTCAGTGAAATAGTTCCTGAGGGATCCTCTGACGAACATAGTGTTAAGTCTGAGCTTGAGAGCCCCTCAAGCCCTGTAGATAATAATGTTTTATGTCCTGTAGATAGTATAGGTAGTGCTATATCCCAAGATAGTAAAGAAAGCAGGTCTAAGCTTAAGTTATTTTTGAACAAAGTTCGTAAGCTAACCTCTAGAGGGCTTCATAAATCAGAAAGTAGGAAAGTTGATGGCCAGGGGGAAGATTTATCAGATAGGGATAGTGAAATTTCAAGTATTGCAAGTTGTGAAACAGAAAGCAGGGAAACAAGTGGGCTTATAAGATTTAAAGATGAAGGATTAAAGTCATCATCATATGAATATACGAGTGCAGTGCAACCAGCAGCAGTTAAGAAGGAAAATACCAAATACTATGAGAAACACGAGCCTAGAATTGGGGAACAATTGCGTGATAAAATTTCCTTGAATCCTTTTGAAGAATTTTATGTGGATTCTGTAAAAGAAATTGTTGATTCTCCTGTGAAAGACAAACAGATAAGTGAAATGGGAGAACCTTCATCATTAGAAATGCCACACACTGAAGACTCTCACACTAAATCTCCAGTCTCAGAATTTCCACTCACAGAAGTGCCTAACACTGAGTCCCCTGTGACAGAATTATCATATGCTAAGTCCCCAGTCTCAGAATTGCCACAAATTGAGTCCCCAGTCTCAGAATTGCCACAAATTGAGTCCCCAGTCTCAGAATTACCACAAATTGAGTCCCCAGTCTCAGAATTGCCACAAATTGAGTCCCCAGTCTCAGAATTGCCATCCATTGAGTCCCCAGGCTCAGAATTGCCATCCATTGAGTCCCCGGGCTCAGAATTGCCATCCACTGATTCCTTAGTCTCGGAATTGCCACACACCGAGTCCTCAGTCTCAGAATTTCCATCCACTGGGTCCCCAGTCTCAGAATTACCATCCACTGATTCCTTAGTCTCAGAATTGCCACACACCGAGTCCCCTGTACCAGAATTGCCATCCACTGATTCCCCAGTCTCAGAATTGCCACACATTGAGTCTCCAGTCTCAGAATTGCCACACACCGAGTCTCCAGTCTCAGAATTGCCACACATTGAATCACCAGTCTCAGAATTGCCACACATTGAGTCTCCAGTCTCAGAATTGCCACACAGTGAGTCCCCAGTCTCAGAATTGCCACACAGTGAGTCCCCAGTCTCAGAATTGCCACACAGTGAGTCTCCAGTCTCAGAATTGCCACACAGTGAGTCCCCAGTCTCAGAATTGCCATACACTGAGTCCCCTGTACCAGAATTGCCATTCACTAAGCCTCCAGTCTCAAAATTGCCACACATTGAGTCTCCAGTCTCAGACTTGCCACACACTGAGTCCCCTGTACCAGAATTGCCATCCACTAAGCCTCCAGTCTCAAAATTGCCACACATTGAATCTCCAGTCTCAAAATTGCCACACAGTGAGTCCCCAGTTTCAGAATTGCCACACAGTGAGTCTCCAGTCTCAGAATTGCCACACAGTGAGTCCCCAGTCTCAGAATTGCCACACAGTGAGTCTCCAGTCTCAGAATTGCCACACACTGAGTCCCCTGTGCCAGAATTGCCAATCACTAAGCCTCCAGTCTCAGAATTGCCACACATTGAGTCTCCAGTCTCAGAATTGCCACACAGTGAGTCTCCAGTCTCAGAATTGCCATACACTGAGTCCCCTGTGCCAGAATTGCCAATCACTAAGCCTCCAGTCTCAGAATTGCCACACATTGAGTCTCCAGTCTCAGAATTGCCACACACTGAGTCCCCTGTACCAGAATTGCCATCCACTAAGCCTCCAGTCTCAAAATTGCCACACATTGAATCTCCAGTCTCAAAATTGCCACACAGTGAGTCTCCAGTCTCAGAATTGCCACACAGTGAGTCCCCTGTACCAGAATTGCCATCCACTAAGCCTCCAGTGTTGGAATTATCACACACAGAAGTGACTTACACTGAATCCACAGTCTCAGAATTGCCACACACAGAAGTGCCTTACACTGAGTCCACAGTCTCGGAATTACCACACACAGAAGTGCCTTACACTGAGTCCACAGTTTCAGACTTACCACACACAGAAGTGCTTTACACTGAGTCCACAGTTTCAGACTTACCACTCACAGAAGTGCTTTACACTGAGTCCTCAGAACTGAAGTCACTTAGATCTAGCATTATGTTAACTGATTCAGTTGTGTCTGGTGTGTCAGCTATTACACCTTTTGATAGAAAGTCACAATTCACTATCACACATGACCCAGAAATTCAGAGTACATTTGAATATTTTAAGGTAAGGAAGGTTGAAGGGAAGGGAATGTTTACAGGAGATGCTGATGATGGCAGTGTAAAGGCTGGTGATATACCTGTAGAATTATCAGATGATGATTCACGCCTGCAGAGGATAAGGGCATCATCATTTACAGAAAAGGATTTGCCATTATCATCACTATGTAAATCAGCTGCTCTTTATCCATCATCAGAAATGTGTGAAGAAGAGGAGGAGGAGGAGGAGGAGGAGGAGGATGTTTATATTGAGCTCCCAAATACAGATGTAGTTGAAATACTGGAGACACTGATTGAAGTTGATGAAACAGAAGACGGTGATGATTTGATTCTCGATGACCCAGGAATGCAGTTCAATATAGAAACAGAGAAGGAATATGAAGAAGAGCAACAAATCAGAGCACAGCATGGAAGGGAAAGAGATAGTGGAGTAAGAATTAAAGTCATTGAAGTAATGGAACCAGATTCGATAACGACGGAAGATATCGATCATGACGAGATACAGTTGTTATCCGAGGCAGATACCAAGGCAATGACTGAGCATATTGGCACATTTGAAACACCCAAGAGTGAAATTCAGCTCCTATCTGAAGCTGAATTTGCTGCAATAGCTGAATCAATGGGTTTAACAGAACAGACGACAACTGAAGTGGGTATGGTGAAGAATGGGGACATGAAGAATATAGAAATCCCAATAGGAAAAAGTCATGATGATGCTTTTTATGGTTTAGAACCAGGTAAAGCAGAGTGTGCAGTGCATGAGACACATCCCGAGACAGCAAGGGAAGTGGAGAGTGAAAGTGGTGATGTCGTAGCAAGTGATGATGGGAGTAGAGCTCAGTTTATCATGGAAAAAAGAATCCAGGAAGTTGTAGCATCAGAAGAAAGAGAGACTGCAGAAAATAAGGCTTATGAATTTAAATCTTTTATTACGGCTGAACTGAGTCAAGAAACATCATCATCATCTTCATCACCTGTTGTGAAGCGACTGAAGAGAATGGAACATGTAAGTGAACCTGAGGAAGGGACAGTATCCTCGGCAGTCACCCAAAAACAAATGAAAAAGCAAATTGACATAACAGATACTGATGATCCAACAAGTCAAATGAAAGGAGAATTATTTCCACCAGTAAGCTCACCCACAGGTGCTACGATCACCCCTGATGTTGAGGAATCTGAGATCATTACTACACGCATGTCACCTGGTCTAACTGTGGAAATGAGTGAAGGTATAAACACTGAAATGAAAGTAACTCAACAATTTGCTTCAAGTCTGATTAATGAAGGGACACTTTGTGAAATGGATGACATGAAGCTATCAACACTGGAATTTGATGCTGAAAATGTATTCACTTATGACTCTGAAACTGTTGAAATTAAAGAATGTGAGGCTGTTACTTCTGATAAATCAGACATAATTTTTTTTCAAAGTGTAACCCAAGTAAATGAAGTGGATGAGATTATTGAAGCTGTGGAAACAGAGAAGCTGCCTTCATTTCAGTCAGCCGTAGCAGAGCAATACAAATTGGGAAATGTATTAAAGGAACCAGAAAAATTTAAATCAATAACATCAGCAAAACAAGTTGTAGTGTATGAAGCACAGCCTGAGTCATATCCGGACCTCTTGGATACTGCAGGAACCTTTGAAAGCAATGAAAGTATTCCAATGATTGATAGTAGCAAAGAGACAGATGCTGATTGTGGTGTCCAGGAACCACAAGCACCTGAAAGTGAAATGGATTTGACTTGTTCAGATGATTACCCAGTTACAGTCCCTGAAGTAGAAGGAACAGATAATTGGATAAAAACAATTAGGGCTTATCAGTCATTAGCAGCCAAATACCCCAATCCAGATGAACCCATCCTGGGAGACAGGGAGCCCCTCGAAGAACCATATATTCACCGTGATGGTAGTGACAAGAAGGAGGGTCATGGTTGTGTTTTGCCCATGATGAAAGATAGGAGCAGCGCTCCTAGTAAAGACAAAACTAAAAAGACGTCTGTCCTCCTAAGTGATTGTAAAGAAGTATTATTGCCAGTACAGGATAATGAGACCATAATAACTCCTGATACTGAAGTGAACACATTTGATGTGAAGGAGCAATATGTCACAGAAAGTATAGTAGAAGCATTTGTTGAGGAGCCCGAAGCAGTCAGAATTTCATCTCCTACAGTAATCGACGATAAACAGGAACTGCCTTCGAGAGTAGATGTTGAAGAAGAAAAAAGTCCCCATGAACTTCCTCCATTAGATGATGTCAGTGAAAATGTGTCATGTGAGTTTGTGGAAGAAGTTTGTACGAAATCCGAAGTTGGGAAACATTTGGTTGAAGCAGAAACTGGATCAGACTCACATGAAGCAGAATCAGATTTAGATGTAACAGAATCAGCAGACATTTCACAGTTAGGAAAAAAATTAGGTTCAGAAGAACAAACATCGCCAGCTACATGTGGAGATACCGGTACATTGCCAGCGAGATGTGGAGCT